TGGATGATAAACTAAAATCTGTAAGATATTTAACAGAAAAGTTTCCTAACCGACATCACTTGTCCGGTTAAGATACAATGTATAATGCAGATTATCGGATAATTCAGGAAATTTTTATGATCAAAGAAATTCTAAAATTTTCAATTTTACTTCTCATTCATTTTTCTAGTTTCAAATGAAAAGCCATCGATAGCAAAAAGTATTCTTCCATTAATTCGCATTTTCATTTCATATGTGACAAAATTTTTCAGATGAATGCATTCAGGAAGTAAATATTATGAAATTCAGTATGAAAATTTCTTGCTTTTTTTGTTTGTTACTTTTAATTAATATTTTTTAAATTACTTTTAATTAATATTTTTAATCAAAAAAAAAAAAATATTTTTTTAATCTTTTTTTTTTTGAAATAAAATCCCACGAAGAATTCATCAGTTAATTCATTCTTTAACAAATCATTCATGTAGTTAACCATAAATTAATCGTTCCTTAATCACTGAATTAAACCAAAGAATTAATATATTTTAATTTAAAAATTTTATTTTTTACTTATGTTGAATACTTCATTCATGTTCTAACCAAAATTTTTAATTCTTAATGTTTACTTTTTAGAGGAAAAGAAGAAATGAATTTCGTTTTTTGCTATAGCTCTGAATAAAATAGAATGAAATTTATTATTTTTCTATATTAAGATAAAATGGACAAAATTTAAAAATCGATTTACAACATTTATAATAACCTAAATTACACAATTTTTTCGAAAAAAAAAATTATGAATAGTCAAAATGTGCAAAAAAGAAGTGATCTTATAAAGACTAATTAATGAGAATAAAAGTGAAGAAGATAGGATAAGATGAAATGAAAATGAAGAAAACGATAATATAACATTTTCCTCTTGAAAAACAAAAAAAATAATTGAATCCAATAAAATTAAGCACAGTTGGTTAAGAAAAATTGGCAAAAAACTTTTAAAAAATAAAAAAAAAATAAAAATAAAAATAAAAATGAAAATAAAACGAAAAAACAGGAAAGCAAAGTTGTAAAACAATGGAAGAAATGAATAAAGATTTAGTGATAAGGTAACTTTTGACAAGTCAAACAATGAATGAACGATAAGTGAAATGAAAATAAAATATCAAATAAACTAAAGAATTCGTTTGGGACAAAGTTCAACTAACAGATGCCATTATTGCTCATCACAATTTACCAATGCTATCCATCATTTGTAATAATATGCTATCATCAATATTTAAATAATTGAAATGGTAAAACCATTTCTTATCAATATTATATTTCATTTTCTTTGCTATTAAGAAATAGAAATACCGAAAAATATTTGTCAAAATCCATTTTTCACTTATAATTTATATAATTTTAGTTAATAAAATTACAATAGTAATAGTTGCAAATGATAGATAATAAAAATCTTTTGATTTTTAAATACAAATATCATTTTGTAACATTAAAATAACAATTCTGCTGTCTAATTTTATGGCAATACAATAAGAATTTGTTTTTCATTTTATTTTCAATATTTTTTCGTTCAATTTATTCAATACTTAATTTCCAACAAACATTATCAATTTATTTTATTAGAAAATAGTCGTATTTATTTATCTCTCTTCCTCTCCCTTTGCCCTCTCTCTCTCTTTTTCTACCCCATCTATTTTAATTCATCATAATTTTTATCAACCACAAAATTGTTAACTTTTTCCACTTTTTTCTTCTACCTTTACTTTTTTCTTGCCCATCCTTACTTTCTTTCTACATCAAAGAGATCACGTACTGAAGATAAAATTTCTGAATTCATTCTGATTGATTAATTGACTGACTGATTAGTTGATTGATTGATTAATTAATTAATTGGCTGTAAAATTACATCTTTCATTCTTCCATCTTTTACCAATCATTGATAGCTTTCACAATTTTTTGAATAATGCTAATACCTTCCATTTGATAAAATTTGTTGATTGCTGAATGTGAAAAAGGTTATTATTTTTTCCTAAATTGTTTATAATAAATATGCATAACAAATGATACGTCAATAAATGAAAAAGCATAATTTTTACTGTTAAATTTAACAACATATAAACGAATTTCAACCAAAATTTAAATAATAATATTGATTTAGCACACGGAGAAGATCATTTGTTCAACTAAAATCTCGAAATTCAATATGATTGATTGCAAAATACTTTACATTTTACATTTGTACTTTACATATTAGCTATGACTAAATTATAGAGCATAATTAATGAGCTGAATATGTTTTGCCATATTGGAACTTTAATAGATTCTAAATGATTACGAATCAGTGATACGATTCTGCTTTAATTCCTATTAGGTAGCCAACTAATTGTCCTAACCCATCTATTTATTCAACGCTTGATAACCCGCATAATTGCCAATCAACCTGTAAATAACATTATCGATCGTTTGCAAATTTTGAAAATACACTTCGTATCCATTTATATTCTACCACATTATATTGCAACCTAATGATTAATTGTTAAAGTTGTAGACTAATTGTTTAATCGGTAACATATTAGTTTTAAATTTTAAAAAAAAGTCTAAAATTTCTAATAAATTTTTTTTTTTTTTTTTACAATTAATGGTTTAATAACGATCATTTTCATACCATTATGATTCAAAAGAGAAAAAAAGCTAAAGAAACAGTGATAAAAACAACGTAGATTGTTCATTGGCAAAATAGTAAATTGATGAAAATATTTAGCAATAAAATGAAATGATAGAATGACGAAAATAATCATTGTTTCATGATATATTGTACAAACAGGTTATTAAAATGAGAGAAAAAGTAGTTAGCGAACAGTCAATTTCAGTAATTATTGCACTTTCTTTTTTAAAATTTTCAAAAATTTTATAGGCAAATATATCAGTAAATTGTAACAGCACAAAATAAAATGATGAAATTTGCAAAATTTAAAAAAAATAACACTTATATAAGCGATTGATTGCAAAATGAAATTCAAAAGATTTTTTCGTTGACATCCTAAACTAATAGAAGTTCTAAATTTTATTCTTTGCAAATTATGCTTCTTCTATATTTGTCATTAACTAATTAACACAACTGACAATATTCAACTATCAACTGAAATCAAGAATGCCTAGCATTTAATTAAAAATATAAAAATTTTAAATATAGGTAGAAAGTAGAAGAAAATATTCCATAATTTAATTTAATTTCAAAGAAAAAAGAAATGCTGATTAAAAATGGCTAATTGTCACCGGTACATAGGTACGAAATAATTTTGACGAAACAATTGTTCATAATATAGCGTGACATCCATTCATTATTCGTGTATTCTGAGTTATATATGAAAAATATACTCAATGAGAGTTTTTTTTTTCCTGTTTTCTTAAACGGGAAGAAAGCACCAATTCCATATATTTCACTGCAAAATAACTTCCGCTCAATGCTATGATTTTCTTTTTTAAATAAAATTACCAGTATTTTGATTGCTAGATCTTTTCATATCCTTTTTTCAGTATTTTCTAATAAAGATGTAATGCTATCTTTTAATAACAGATTAATATTTAAATGGACAAAGAATTCAATTATGTAATAGTTCACAAACGGAAATATGTCGTAGCACTGTGACATGAAGATCGTTTCGCTTCATTTTCATCATCTCATCATAGTAAGATCAAGAATAACTCAATTAAGAATTTTAAACAGTTTGGCTTCATTGATTACTATAACATATAGTGAAAGTTAGATGACCATTATCCCGAAAACGAGTATAAGTCAAGGAAAAAGTTTTAAAAGATATTACCGAGATCCTTTATCATTATTCCATTTTTTCATTAATCTTCAGTTTCGAAAATTTTTGATATGTCTACTTACATAGAATATGATATAACTTTCTACCATAACAAGTGTAACATCAAAAATACACTAACAAATCCATGTTAAACAACACGTGTTCTAAGAAAGAAAGGATAAAATCGCTGCAATAGCAGGATTTCACTTTAGAAAAGTTTCCAAGATTTTTTCTTATATTTTCTCTTCGCTATTTTGAAAAAAGTTCACTAATGTTTAAAGTGAGAATAGACATAGTTGGTTATGAGATGTTTATACAATATACAGCATGTATGGGAACACTGAAAAAGCACAGAGTAATGATATAAAATGATAATTTTTTTTAGGAAGCAATGCAACACAGGCATACAGGCATAAAGCATGTGCTTTTTAAACAACAAATTCTGAATGTTTCAGAAGAAAAAAGGAGAAATTACGAAAAACAAAAGGAAGAAATGAAAATCCTATACAAATGCGTTTTTCGATTTCTAGTCCTTATCTTCTTAAAAAATGTCTCCTGAAACATTTTTCTTTGTAAATCTTTTAAAATACTACTTACTCTGCTGCATTCTGAATATTTTTTAAAGAAAGGCCAGCCAATGTACTAATGAAACCGTTCAACAGTCAGTACTGTAATAATGCATTAAGATTTATCCAGAATACCATATAGTTCAGTTGAAGAAGTAAATGGGTAGGATTTATATTAATCTATGTGAAAGCAATTTTATGACAAAGAAAAGTGAAAATATGAACATAAATTCTAGGTAATGAAATGAAAAGTTGTCAAAGTATAAAAATGACAAGCTAAAGAAAATCCTTCCGAACTATTTAGCAGTGTCAGAAAATATTGAACAATCAAGTAAAAGTAGCTTTTGGGTTGCAGTGATGAAAATAAAATCCATACGTTACATACACTTGAAAATTTCGATCAAAAAAAGCACGTTTTTAAAACTCTTTCCGGAAATTCTGGATAGTAATTCTTTTTTTTTTTTTTAACCCAGAATGACAAGAGTTACGAGAAATAATACATGAAATTAGATAAAGTGGAAGGTAAGATTACAGGACTCTGTGAATAGTTTAGCACCAAATATGCTCCTTACTACATAATCTTCACTACAAGCTACAGCATTACAATAGATACAGAAAGAAAAAAGCTCTAAAAGACGGTTATGTAAGCTATTTACTTACGAGTACCACGTCTTCTTGCTTCCTCAATCATTTCCTCTTGCAGTGTTTCCATCAGATCCAAACGTGGTATCGCTGGTTTTGGTTCGAAACTACAAGAGTATTTATCTAGCAAAAAAATTTTCTGCAAATAGTTACAAAGATACACAGACACACTGTCTGACATGTTTAAAAGTTTCGATAAAATAGGGGTGAAATGATTCATCAAAAGAACAAAAATACCTGACAAATAAATACCACCGCCTTTATAGTTATTGCATTCGAAACACTGCTACTTCGTTACGTAAAGTAAAACTTCCAAATCAATGAATCAAAATGAGTCTTGAAAAATCCAATCAACAAGTAATTTATTTTTGAAATTTTTACCCGAAAGCAACGTAATCATGATCACGATCCTTCATTGTAGCCCAAGTGAATGGAGCGTTCTTGTAGCCTTAAAAATTTACAGTCATTATAATGTGGCAAAAATGACAGCTAATTTTTATTAGATATACAATTTGAATATACTAAAGCACAAAAATTCTGTTAACACTTATTTTTGTACTTCAACTTTCTAACCCTACCAATTTAAAAATGCAAAATTAGCTCGTGATCAAAGTTAAAACTTCTTTATTTTTCCTAAGTTTCAAGGGGACTAAACAGCTGAAAACCCCTAGACAAATATTATATAGCTGTGTTAGCAGCACAGACATCAGCCACGTAAGTAACATAGACGTGATTTTTCTAGTAAAAAATTCTTGTAACAACTTTGTTTATTTCAAAACTACTTAATCTGTTTATTATAATTCTTATCAAGTTGTGACAGCCTCGATCTTTTGAGGATTTACGATACAACAAAGAAACAGACAAGTTACGACTATAACGTATGATACTTTGCCAGTAAAGTACAACAGATATTAACACTCACTTCGATCAATGACGATTTCAATTTTTGCAGAGGCATAGTAGGCTATAAGTACAAGTACAATAGCCCATGCAATGACCTGACCTTGAATTGGGTATAATTCGAAGCCATGAAAGCCCATATGATGTTTGAAACTGAAAAAAAAATATAATAAAATCAAGAGTTTCAATCTTCAAACTCCCTCTCCAAAATTAACAAATTCTTTGAAAGCAACAAACTTTGTGATCGGTTCATTTTGTTCAGCGGAAAAGGGATCCATCTTTCTCGCTGCTTTCTCAACCAAACTTTTCGCCTCCTTACCGATTTCAATCTTACATCGGAGTGGCGCAGTAGTTCTGGAGAAATAACGAATTGCTTTCAGAGTGATTATTCTTTGAATATGCAGTTGGCGTATGCTAACTGACAGCAATCCATGCATTTCTGTAAGAAAAAAAAAGATATTAACAAAAAAGCTGATACGCATAGTAATGAAAGTAACACGTAGTAAATTATTCAAAACCATCTATTTAAAAAAAATCTGAAAAACTCTAAAACGAAAATTTAGAAAATTAGAATGTGATATATTTCTGAATCACATTTGCCCAATAATAGCATGCATAAGAATTTTCAAATAGTCAACTTCAAAATAGTCGATAATGGAAACATTACACCAGTAAAGAACTGTAGGGGTTGAGATTTTTTGGATGCTAAGAATTCATAAGCTATCAGTAATATGAATAAAAAGGAACCCTAATTTGCTGTAACAATCAGAAATACGCCATACAAAGCGGATCAACATTTCTAATAACTATAACTAATGGACAGGAATTTCCAATATACTAAAAAAAATAACACTTTCATATTTTAAATCTGACAAAAAAAGAAAAATATGAATGATATGCAAGAAAAACACATTTGTAAAAACAGTTTTGTAGAGGAAATTTTAAAACCAAAAAAAAAAAAAAATTATAAAAAAAATCAAATGGAAATTTCTAATTCTAAACAGATGTAAAATCTATGACATTTTCTCCATATATCTAATTTAAAAGACCACCCCTCTCTGATTACTTAATTTTGCATAAATTATTTTCTCACCTTCCGATAACAAAAAAATATCCCGCGATGATGTCATATCGATTGAAATTTCTCGTCGAGAAAAAAAACACCACTTGTAACAAAAAATCCACAAGCAAACACAAACATACAGCTACACAATTTTCGTGCCAGGACCAATTATCCTTGAAATGAACGTATGCGTACGTGACAAAGTGAAGAATAATCTGGAAGCATGAATGAGGCAATTTATCCTGGAATGGCTCGGTGGGATTTCATTTGTGCATTTAGGTTAGTTGAGAGGTGGTTGGTTGGTTGGTGCGGGCGTTAGACGTTACGTTCTCACTGGTTGTATATTGATACGTGTTACTCCACGTACGTAACGAAAAAGATAAGTAATTTTGTTCCTTTCATCTTTTTTTTCCCTTATCATTTAATATATTTAGCACTATTATTAGCTCTGAAAATATAACAATATTAGGATGAGAATGGTTAGAACGAAAATTTAATTTAACATATTCAATAGAATGATTCTGCAGGTAACTTGACGATATATTATCTATCTAATTTGGCATATTCCTCATATTAGATTTTCAAATAGGGTTGATAAATTAGTAATTAGTAAAATAAAAATAAAAGAAAATTAGTAAAATAAAAAAAAAAAAAAATGAGATTGATAAATTAGTAATCTTCTGTGAAGAACATGCACAGATGAATGAATGTTGGTGTGCCTGGGAAATCCTCTAGGTAGGACTGCAGCAATATGTCGATTATTTAGCATGGGAAACCGGTTTGCAATTCCATATATATATCACTAATGTGACTGTCGTAGTTTGTAGCATTAGCGTTTATCAGAAAATAGCCAGAGATCTGCTTCCAATATTTCATTTAATTTAATTTGAAGCTTTCAAAAATATACTCCGACTGTCTATACATTATCAAATTAATGAATGGAATAGGAGGATGTGGAAAAAGAAAAGAAGAAGATACTACTTCTTAAAAACATAAGAAAATTAACATTATGACAGTGGTTTATTTTGAGGAGGGAAGTGAAATCAATTATCACAAAAACATGCCATATTTATGATCTTGTGTTTCAGAAAGGTGAAGATCTGACTCTAGTAGTCGTGAAAGGGGCTAAATCCGTTTAGAGATTTTGTAACTTTTTAAGATCGATGGAGTGATATTATATCAGCTAGATGCAAAGATCTCATTTCATTTTGGACAATTTACTATAAGGGTTTATTTTTTTATTTTCAACACTTACTAATTATTTCCATTTCAGTCAGCCTAATCGGTTAACTTCCTGTTCATCATGGCCGATGCGACGGATAACTCGGGTACATCAAATGCACCGGCTACAAATGCAAAAAAGTATTTTTTCTTTTTTTACGACTGAAAATGTGCAAGTCATTCCGGTACTGACTTTGAATTTTAAGTTTAAAATTTGCCATGTTGGAACAGATATTTCACACTGGGAATTAAAAGTTAATGACATCGCTGAATGTATTGCAGATTTGCATCGTCTTGTGTGCTTTGTTCGTCACACATTGCACTAAGCGATATTTTGGCCCTTCCTTGTGGACACCTGTATCACCTCAACTGCGTCATGTACTTCTTCATATACGTGAGCCCCGTGTTTTTCTTGGAATTTCAGCATTTCAACATTGACGGAAGCATGGCAGAAGTCCTCCTGGCCTGGACTTCATTTCATTCATGGCAAACTGCTGCCAGAATTTGTGGGGAATCCGACTTATTTTAGGGTTGGTCTTCTTGCCCTGAGTGTAACCATCCATTGGAATTGGCGGATATTATGTCGCAAGCTCATTTCGATGGCAGTTTGGATACTAAACCGGAAGCCGAGAAAATGTTTGAGAGTTACCGTGATGTTCTACGAAAAGTATTTCTCCTCATCTCTTAACATTTCCTAGACTCAGATTATCTTTTCAAATTTCTCGAATAAAAACATGGAAAATTGTGAAATTCAATTACTGTCAATGAATAATACTTCAATTTATTTTTCTCTTTATCGCTCGTTATGCGGGACAGGAATCCAATATGCAAAAAATCTGATTGTCTTAGTAAAACTAAAATTTTAAAATAAGTAGATGGTAGAGAAAAAAATTCGAGGTTCACGAAAAGTAATTGTTTGAAGTTCTGAACTACATATTTAGCTGAGTGATGCTTATATGGAGATTATGACGCTGAAAAAAAAAGAACTGGATGCGACGGTTGAGCAGCTCCAGCTGAAAACTCGACTGTTTAAACTGCAAAAGAAACACCTAGAATTATTGCGTGAAAACAAAGCTTTGAAGAACATCGTTGCGATGAACCACTGAAGATCATACGGTGGAGAGAGGTTGTTGCTTGCGTTGATTCAAACAACTGGCAATTGTGATCTCTAGTTGAACATTTTATCGAGTTTTTTTTTTGTATTTTTTTGTAAATGCTAACCTTTGAGCAATATTTATTGTTCCTTTCGTTATAAGTTTTTTAACATAATTTATTTATATCATTTATAATTTAAGTAATTTAAGTGCCATGAGCGGTAAAAAATATTTTTTTGGCGGTCGTGATGTTAGTCTAAAGTCATCTTATTTCCAAGACAAATTGTCAGTAAAAGATATTTTTTGGCGATCTGAAGTTCTATTACTTCCAAGACAAACTGTCCATGTTTGCGAAACTCCGAACATTTTTATCCATTATTGACTGACAGCTGTTGTCAGGTCGACTCGTTTTGCAAAATGGTAATAAGTAAGGTAAAAAATGATAAGTAAGAAATGACAAGTAGAGAATAAGACACTTATTCTCTGTCGTGTTAGTAAGTAAAGTAAAATGATAATAAGTATGGTAAATACAATTAGTTCGTTAAAGCTGTACTTTCTGCTAAATCAGTTTTGTGGTTGGTGTATGCAAGCCCGTAAGATCAATTTATACTTACATTTGGTGAAAAAGGCTGATGAAATTATTTTCATGGTTTATTCTTGTAATAATTTATAGTTTTTTTTTTTTTAAAGTTTTTTTGTATTTCGTTTTGGTTCTGTCCTTTTTTTCTGTTTTGTAATTCCCGTAAATGCGTTGTCGTTAAATAAAATATAATAATAATCAGTGTTATACGAAGCAGACGAATATATAAAAAATATATAAAAGGGAATATATAAAATAGAATATGTAAAAGAGACGAAATTATCTTGGTTTTAAAATTGAATTTTAAAAAAATACAACTTGAACAATTTCAGGAGAAAATTATCTCAAAGTGACGTTTCGTCTTTTATTTGTTTGTTGATCTTTTACAGAATTCGGATATACATTCCTATCTGTGATAAAACATAGAAGAAAGAAAAAAGTCCTTGTTTGTGCAACAAATCAACCTATTCGCAATTTGTCATTTATGATAAAAACTATTACCACTACTGTACTTTTAATTATTTATAGTACCAAGAGTAATACATAATTGTTACATTACATCAAAGGAAGAGAAGAAAGAAGTGAATTTTATTATAGTGCTATAATTTCCAGTGAACAATAAATAGATTTGAAAATATTTCATTGGAATGAAAGAAGCAGACATTGATAAATGTTGCAATGAAATTATTTATGACTGTGAAAATGAATTGATTATCTGACCTAATAGAAATATGCATATTTTCTTATATAAATGAAAATTTACATTAGTATTTCTAATCAAAATCATTATGATGCTAGTAAGAGGTGAAAAGTGAAATGGAAAAAAAAGAGAGATAAATGATAATTGAGGAAGCATTATGCAACTAATAATAATTATATGATGATACTACGGTTTAATGATGTTAGATATGAATGTCAGTATATTAAGTCAGCATTCCTAAATTATTTCATACATTCATGGTAATTGAAATTTGCACACGAAATTTGGGATATTGAAGAGGTAGAAAAAGTTAACAATGATATTTTAAAATAGCAACCGGTTCCTTTTCATTTCCTATTTTGTTTTTGCTTTTTAAAAATTATATTTTAATTGCTTTTTTGATTTTTCACTCATAATTAGCTATCATAACGGGTCGCCCTAGAGGAGGACAAATATTTGCTCAATGATCGTTGTAATATTGAAGTAAATGATGAACAAATGTCTTTTGTTTATTTGATAAATGATATTGTTTCAAGTACTATTGTTTAGTTTTGTATTTCATTTCAATTTTTTATTCCAACATTTTTTTTTTTTTTGTCAAACTTTTTCTTTTTAAAGTATATAAAAACTTTGAATGCGCAACAATTTAATAATTAGAAAAAAATTGTAAATTGAAGGTCTAAAATATTTATTATAAAAGTCAAAAAAAAAAAGAAATTAAATATTTTAGCATTTTGTTAGTATTATAGCCGAAAAATACTCAAACCAATGATGAACTCATATACTTTATTCAGATTTTAGGTCATTGTTCAAAAATTTTTCTTAATTTGAATAACATCGTAATTATTCGGTTTAAAATTGAAAACGTTTCCGGTTAATTGTTCTTTCCTGTGTACTTCTGCTGTTAACATTCATTCAAATTACAAGCAAACTGAAATCTTTACTACTTTCATCATCTATAAATTTAATAACAATTCCAAAATAACGGGAAAATGAGATGGGAAGGGTTTCGGGTAGAGTTTCGGGAAAGGAAAGGGAAATATCGGAGTATGGATGAATAGATACCAAATAACAACTGGTTGCATATAAAAATGAAATGTAATTGGTAAGAAAAGGTATAACGGACAGAACAGACAGACAGACACGCACACACACATGGAAACATACAGACACATACATACACATGCACAAACCTACATACACACACATACACACACACACATACCCATGCAAAAAAAACCAGAAAACCACACGTAAACATACGCATACACATACAAAAAAGGGCCACAAAACGACACACGTGTACACATACACATACACATACATACATACGTGCGCATACATTTGCTAAAACTTTATGAAAAAAAAAAAAAAAAAGAAAGAGGGAATGTCTTATAAATTTTTCGATGAATTTGTTGCAAATTTCTCATATATATATGCTTCATTCCTACTCTTTTCATTATAGCATTAAATTTCATTAAAATGGAAAAGCAATGCTTTTTCTTTTTTTTTTTTTTTGCTTAATTTTTGTGTTTTAACTTTCATTTTTTATTTTTATTTTTATTTGCTGTTTAAAAAGCTTAGTAAATATGTATTTTCAATTTGTTTCAAAATGCCAAAATTCCTACATCCTTAATGCAGTATTTTTGATTCAATTATTTGAAATTTTGTCAAAAAAGAAAAAAAGAAAAATTAAAAAAAGAGAAATGGAAGAATAAATTATTATTATTATTATTATTCCATTTAAAAATATTCAATTGATATTTTATTGTAATATTATTACTATTATTTTTTCTCTCTCAAATAAAGCATAAATAACAGTAACAAAAGCATAACTGTAAAAGTTCTTTGAGATATTTCACATATGAATGCATCCTTTTTCTTTTCTCCTATTTGTAATTTCAAGAACAAAACTTTCATTAAAATAAGTCTGCTCAACATGCTACAATCTTTTTATTTCATACAATTAAAATATGTCGTTGTTGTTTTATTAGAATTTAATTACTAATTATTAAAAATAAGCATAGCAAAATTTATTGAAAGATCAATTAATTCGCAATTGGATAGAAAAAGAGAAACGAAAAAAAAGAAAATTTTTTTTTTGATATCATTTTAAATTAAGTAATGAACATTGCTAATCTATAATTCATACACGATATATTATAGTATGGTTATTAATCATCATAATTTAAGTAACGTATTATAAGTACAGTTGATAGTCTACAGTTTTTTAAAGTATAATTGCCTCATTATAAAACGAATAAAATATAACAAAGATTCAAAATGTGTCATGGAACGGTATCGATAAAAATAACCGAAGTTACATTTACTATAAATTGGTATAAAAATAAGTTCGATTTGATATTCATAATATTGAACGGTATCATTTCATATGATACCTTGCATAGCAGACAAATATATGTTTCATTTCATTCAACCATTCATTTTTATCATATGAAATTTATCTCTGTGACATAAAAATATTGCTATTATTTTGTTGATTTTGAATTGATAAATAAAGAGAAAATCGCCCTGCAATTTCATGTAATGATTTTTTTTTCCGGGATTTGGCACCTAAAAACCAGTTTTCAGGTGCCAAATCAGTATTGATGTCTGAATTTATATAAATAATAGACAAAAAAAAGGGCAATCATTACTATTCGCACTGCATTTTCTCAATTTACACCTATTATATCGAATCCATTTCTGTCTAAAACTGTTACGAGAAAGCTCCTTGAGAAGGTGAAAAATCTTTTTGGAAGTCTGTTAAACCCTTTAACCATATACTATTGAAAAGACTCCGTATATCACCTGTCGAAACTAATTTATTCGTGCGCAATAGTTGTAAAATATGTGACGAATTCCACTTTTTTTTCTTTTTTTAAGTGAAATATTTTAGTTTAATAGAATCAAGCAGTTTCAAATTTGTTGCTAAAAAGATGCAATGGAATAGCATTTAAATAAATACTCCATTCTTTATTATTTATTATAAAAACATTGCACAAATAACCATTTTTTTTTTCTTTTGGTCTCTTTTTTTTTCAAAAATTTGAAATATAACACTTTTTGATGATTAGATTTGAAAAATGAATATGATATTTAGGATGGTAATAAATAAATAGTATTTATTAAATTACAAAGAAAATAATGTTTTTTTTTTTTTTTTTTCTTTTTTTTTTAATTGGAAATTTAGCGAAATGAATAAACTATAGCGAATTTCCAGAGATAATAATAAACTATTACAACAAACAATTTGGTTCATTTTAGAATTCTGAACAGTAAATGGGGACAAAACATGAGGGTGGTTTGTTCGAACATCGAACACGCTATATCATTTTGTTACTTGGGTGGATTTGCCTAACTTCAATATTTTCTAATACAATTGCGCTCAATTTCACATTTATATGTATGACAAAACCTGCATCAAAAAATCAAACAGAAAACGATGTTGTCGTATGCTTTCACGTATTCTTGAAATTTTCACTTTTTTTTTTTTTTTAAATATCTCATATCATTTAAAGTTAATTTAGCATGGTAATTAAATTTTAAGAAGTTTATCGGAATAGAATATTTGCTATTAGTCTATGAAATGACACTTATCTTTTTGAATTAAATATTTTTTAAAATGAAATTGCATAGTTCCATTTAATTACATTATGATGTATGCTTTATGACTGATCATTTCTTATATGCAATTTAATAAATAGATCATTTATGCAGGTTAATAATAATAAATGCAAATAAAACTCTTGGAGTGTTTTATTTAAGAGAAAAAAAAGCTTAGAATACCAGAAATTTCAAAGTTTAAAAAAATTTTCTTGTATAAACGTTATTTTAAAAAAAAAAATGTTGAGGTATAATGTTAAAGTATAATTATATTGACATTTAAATAAAATTTACAAAGTTTCTTTTTTGTCATAGTGGTGCTTTTTTTTTTCCTTTTAAAATACCTCAATATATGGCATTAGATTGAAATGATGATTGAAAATATGAATCTGAAAGATAGCATGAAAAAAAAAAAAAAAGAAAACACAAGTCATATAAAATGTTCATTTGAAAAGGATACAGAAATATCTTGTGATATTTTGCAAATTAAAGATATACAATTTAAATTAGCAAACAACCAAATGATATCATTACTAATTGCTAATTAATCAAACCTTGAAATTAATAATAATTAGTAATTATACAGGGTTCCGATCATTTCACAGGAGAGCTTAATTATGAACAAAGTGAAAAATCAGCATTGCTTTGGGCCCTCGGTTTTGGCACCTTTATTGGAGTTTGGCCATTTAATTTTTTATATCTTCAATATGGTGCAAGATATGTTTTCTTTGCTGCTGGCTTCCTGTCCGCTTTTTCGACACTTGTGATACCTCTTACAGCCTACATGGGTCTTATATGGTTTGTTGCCGCTAGAGTTCTTCAGGTTTGTTTATTTTATCTAATATGATACTGTTAAAAAAAAAAAAAAAAATCATTTAACCATTTTATTCAATCAATTTACTTGTTAAACCATTTATGATTAATTATGAAATTATAAAAGTACATATGTAATTTCCAAAGATGCTTTTTGTCTGTTAAGTTTTTGATAAGAATATCACTTCCAAATTAAGATGCACTCTATGCATATTTTTGAATAAATAGTTATAAAGTTAATAATTTCCATCAGAGGAAATATTTTTGAAGTAGATTTACTGTGCATAAAATTAATCTTAAAATATATAATAATATGTTTAGGGAGTAGCATATGGTGCTGATTTTGCAGCAATTGGAGTAATAACTGTACGTTGGGCATCACTGAAGCAAAGTGGTGTATTTATTGCTGTGCTAACAAGCTTTAATAGCCTTTCAACACTTATCACAAATCCTATTTCTGGCTTGGTTCGTTTTTTACTTTCTTTTTGAAATGAGGAAAGAATTCTATCACTTCAAATTTTTTATCAAAATTTATTTTAAAAATTTTACAATGATTAAGCTTTGTGAATCATCACTTGGTTGGCCAGCTGTATATTATATACATGCAGCATTTGGCATATTTATATTTACTGTTTGGATATTATTTTATCGAGATCAACCAGAAATGCACAAAAATGTTTCAGGTTAATTTTAAAATTTAGCTCTTTCAGTTTATTTTGCAGTACACTTTCTTTATTACATGTACCTTTTCTTTTTTTAGAAAAAAAAAAAGCTCATATTTTTCAGGAATTGAGTTAGAAAAAATTCGTCGAGAAAAATCTGAAGGATATATCAGTAGTGAAAAATATGTCCCATATTTGGTAATAAATTTCTTGCTAATGTAAATTTTGGTTCATCATTAGAACTTTGTTACTGATTATAGCTGGATAGATTAGTTAGAGAGAAAGAGAGAGAGAGAGAGAGAGAGAGAAAAAAAAAAAAAAACAACTGCCTAGATAACTTGACATTTGCTACTAAAGAAAACAATTAAGGAATGATAATTGAAGAGATAAGTCACAAATATTTGAATTGATTTCAGGCTATAATAAAAAATCCAGCAATATTGATTATTTGGTTCAATGCATTTGTGGAAATTGTTTCTGCTTTATTTCTGCTCTCGTATGGACCTACTTATATCAAATATGTCTTGAATATCAGGTTTTCTACTTGTTCCAAAGCATGTGTTCAATAGAAAATTTTTAATTCAAAGTTATTCTTTTGCTTGAAATGTATTTTAGATGCAAAAAATAGAAATTATTCTATTATGATCTTTTCTAGCGTTGAAGGCACAGGATTTTTGGTTGCTCTCCAGGGATTATCTTTCCTACCATTTCGAATCGCTGCTGGCTTCATGAGTGATCAGATCAAGTATGCTATTTGTCTGCATTCAATTCATCGCTCGAGCCAATCGTTAATCTCACATTAATTCCATTAAAGATAAATTTATCAAGTTAATCTATCAGAAATTATCGCTAATCCGATTGTGCTACTTATTTTTATTATTGTTATTGATTATTGTAGTTAAACTTTCAGATGTATGAACGAGTATCAGAAAATGATCTTTTTCAACACGCTATCATTAGTTGGAGCCGGTGTATTTTATTGTATCCTCGGTTTTATACCACCTGAAAAGACTTCATTATCTGTATTTGCTATTGCAGTAACCCATGCTGTTATGGCCTTCAATGTTGGCGGATTTTATAAATGTGGTACCTTTGTGGCTCGGTAAGCCGGTAAATTCATTAATTTTCATTTAAATTATTTTGCAATTAACAGAAAAAAAAATTTCGACAAACAGCAGCGTGCATTCTTTTTTTTTCTCCACTGCAAAAATTGTATTAGCTTAGCAAATGAGGTTTTGATCAAATCAGCTGCATCGCATCCGAAACGGATAAAAAAAAAACGCCGGAAAGCGGAATAAATTCTGTTTAGATGATAGATATCAACTCCCAAGAGTAGTTTTGACTAATTCCATAAGGCTTAATTGCTTGGTGCGAATAGTTATTTCTGGAAGGTTGATAAAAGGTCAAACCAATCTTTCAATTGTGCTCTCTCGGAATGATAGCATATTGTGTCAACTGATGGAGTAGCTTGATATGGAATTGAATTTCGATTAATTTCAGACAACATAGTCATTTCGTGATCTCAAATATACAATTCATCAAATGTGTTGCATTGTTTGTATCACCATTACTGGTTGCAATATTTGTTACCGATGATTCGGCACAGGTAAACACATTTACTTCATGCTATTATACGGAGATTGCATGATATTTTTATATTACATTATTTCTAATGTCACCATATAGTCATACTACATTAGATATTTTACCTTAGACTTCTACACTACACAAATTGTTCCCGAATACCGTACTCTTAATTGTAAACAAATGACCGTATTTACGTGTCTCCAGCAGATATAGCTATCTTAAACTTAGATCGATTAAACGAACGATTTAATATTTAATACATGGATGTGTTACGATAGACAGTTACAGCTTCATTGGATGATAACACTTACTTATAAAACAATCAGAGAAGGAGAGAGTAAGAGAGAAAAAGAGAGAGAGAGAGAGCTTAACAGTTATTATTATTACGCACAGTTTTTTATTTTCAGGAACAATGGCGAATTATTTTCATAATTTTAGCAGTGTCACTACTCGTAGCAAATTTCGCTTTCTGTTTGATAGCAACCGATAAACCGGCCAAATTTACAACACTTCAACCGGAAAAAAAAAGACAAAATCTTGCAATCGCTTCAGTTTCATGATAATAAATAATTGATTCGAGAAATTTTCGTTTCTAATTTCTCCAATTCGAATTGTTGTTAATCGCACCGATTTAATTTATCTATACAAAAGTTTTATTAAAATATCAGTTGAAGTTAGAACAGCTTCAGGAGCATAGAATATCAAAAATTAGTCAGTTTCTCTTCATCATCAAAATTACCCATCAAATTTTTTACAAATTCCATAGATCACCAAACTGTACGCCTAAATTCGGTCACATAAAGATAATCTAGAGAGGGTAAAGGAAAAAAAAAACTCCGAATGAACACCTATTTTATACGTAGACTCACTTTCAGGTCACGCATCCATCCCTTTTTTTCTACTGAAATATTTCGCTGTTGTACAATCTTGCTGATGACTGCTATGGTCTTGCGATGATTTTCTACCCTCGGTAGTTTCGTATCCTTTGTACGTTTTTCTAAACGGCCGTTGTTGTCCCGGGAATTGCTTCGGTTACAGTAGTGTATGTACTGTTGTTTGATGATATTTGATCTATCGTTTTGTGACTAACTGGAAATAACTAACCAGTAGGTATAACCCAGGTGGTTCTTCCTTATAATTCAATCAAAACACAGCTAACAAACATAGTAAGGCAATTCAGGTTATTTGCCTGTTAACTTCACGGCTTAGTAAATGCAATTCTTTATGAAATGGACACTTTGGACTTCGTTTCTGATCGACTCATGATTTTGTTGATACATCGATTTAGTGGAAGCAATAAAAGAGATATACAAAAAAAAAAGTAATCATTGTTACGGTCATCATATAATCTATATCAAAGAGTGTTTACAGTTGTTATTCTCATAAAATCATGGTGGGATTTTCTTAAATACATGTTTTCAAGTGTTTTAAGCAATTCACTATAACATTTATTTCACTCTAACAGTCACATAGCATGAATTAAGTAGCTTGGACATCGTAAAGTTCTCCCCTTTTTAAAACTCCCGTCGTAAACTTTTTCCATTTAATAAATGCCGAAATCTGTGAGTTATCATCCAGAATGGGACCACGTGTTTCAGTAAGCATAAGACTAGTAATTATTAAAATTTTGAAGTTTTAAAATTTCCGGAAGAGTGGAAGTTTGAATAGTAGAAATTCACTCAGAATCTAAAAGAGATCGAACGAGTAGATGAGATGACATTAAAAAGTGACATTAAGTTTAGAAAGTTTAGCTTATCTCGTCGTTTTCCACTTAGTCATCATGTTACGATGCTTATCAAGCCTTACAACATGTAGACAGACGTAGCATTGGTCTTGGAGTGGGTGTGTCGTACTTCTCATACCCTTATCAGTATAATTTTTAAGTTAGATTATCATATTTATTTGCAGGTGATGAGCGACTACAACGGCCAAATAATGGCTCAGCAGTATACGGTGGATATGAGCCATTCACCAGCTGGCATGCAACGAATTCATTCGTCACCTCAACAACCGGTCTGTGACATTTTCTTACACTTTCCTGTGAATCTTATGGAAATATCACCTTATGGAATATCGTGTGAAGTGGTTTAGGTATGGTCGGGAGACCGTATGGTAGGTTATGTATTCCACACGTTGAAGAATTGCGTATTGTATTAACCGATGAATACCAATTAATCTTATTTACCAATAGAATGTCTCTTTGGAGCGGTTAAATAATTGGCATTTTAAGACTTTTTTAAAGATTATAAATTTATAAGATGAATTATTGTTAGTGTTGAGTAGATGAGATATACTTGTGAGTGGATGTACAAAATGGCAAGTTCGATTATTTTTTGTATATTTGCCTTTCTGATTGGTTTCCACTCATTTTTATTACCGAAGGAAAGTCTTAGTAGTGATGATGAAATCATGAAGGATTTTTTTGAGTGAAATCTGCATTTTATGGTGTTCAACATAGTATGGCTTTTTTAAGCGGCAAGCGCATATGATTCAATCTGGACAAATGCTTTCCCAACAGCAAATGATGATGCAGGCCAATCAACCACTCCATATGCCACCGTGTAAGAAATTCCTCGTATTTTTTGTTCAAATATTTCCAAATCTTAAAATCACATCTGTCATATTTTTATTTATCTTAGAAATAGACAATATTTGCAATGCAGTACATGAAATGCATTTAGATTGCAGTAGTTTGGTTTTCGCGCATAAAAATATTCTCATAGATGATTTTTCGTTTCATTTATTTGTTTATTTTTATTTCTTAAACGCTGTTAGGTTCATTAAAGTGGTTGGTGTTTAGAATCATAAGTATTCTGGAGGTGCTAGTGCTTTATCTTCTTCGGTCTGCAGTCGTACCATTTCCAGAACATCTGTTGTACGGTGTGATCGAATGACTTATAGATTTATGCCGTTTTTCATCTTCTCTGTATTTTGAGCTGCCAATGGAATTAGTAAATTTTTGATCCTATTAATGTAACATAGTTTGATCTTTTTAATCTCACATGCAGCCTAATCTTGAGAAAAGCTGTTCTGTTTTTCCATTTTCTCGAGTTATCAGCTCTGTGTTAGCGAGAACTTGGCTTTTGGGTTACGTTTTAGTTCTTTATTATTACATCCTACCATTGGGAAAATTAATTAACAACACTTTATAGGTACAAGTATGCAGGTACAAATGGCGTCGATGGGTCCACCACAAATGATCTCGCAACAGGGTGTCGCTATCATGAGTCAGCAGGGACAAATGCAACAAGCAGGTGATTGTGTTTCAATCCCTTTTATTTTTGCATTTTTTCGTATCATTAAAATAAATTATATAATGCTTTTTTACTTTACTCACGAAATAAAAGTTGAAGAGAAATATACTTCCCACGTACACAAAGTCGTCCTTAAAAATCGCAGAGCATTATTGGAGAGTTGACATCTGCGTCCTAGTTAAGCTGTTTTATGTTTCCTTCAGTGCTGGTGTAACAGTTTGTTTAAACCAGTCGTTGATCTATTTCGTTTAAATCTTTTTCATTATTGATGCTTTTAGTTATGCGATTGTTCCATTTTTCTGAAATGTACTTTCTAGGTGCTGCACAAGGTGCAATGATGCAGGCGCAACATCAGATGATTGCAACAGGACAAATATCTTCACAGCAAATGCCAACACAAATTCTAGTTACATCAATGGGTCAGCAACAGATGCTTTCAACCATGGTCACCCAGGTGCAGCAGCAACAACCAACATCCCATCAAATGGCTCCACCAACAGCACCACATTTAGGACCACAACAATCACTGCAGCAACAGCAACAATCCCAACAGCAGCAACAAACTCAACAACATCAAATGATAACTTCGACTCAAATTTTACAACAACAGAGTCAGGGGCAACATTCGTTAAATGCCCAACAAAATATCGGCCACAGTCCAGGATTTGCTCATCTAGGTCAACCTCATATGCATACTCCGAATCCAAATTATCAGCAACCTTCCCCACATCGACCAACAATGACACGTTATCCAACCCCAAGTCCAGAAAATATGCAGCATGGAACTCCTCCCATATGTATGTTTTCTCAGAATGTTATTATTTTCAAACTTTAAATTGAATTTATCGATTAATATTTGTGTTGTGACGATCGAGAAACGATATTCTTATAGAAAACTTCAGATCGTTCACCAATACAGCGTTCAGTGAATACTCCACGTGTTATCGGACAATCGTCTGCAATACGACAAGCTTTGGGGCATCTCCCACCTGCTCCGACGCCTACACCTGTACATTCTGCAGCTGAGCCACACCCTCCACCGCCGAATAGCATGAAATTACTGGAGAAGGTTTCTTTTTTCTTTGAAAATTAGATGGAGTGGCATTTGATAAAAAATATTTTCTCAATGTTTTTTCGATACTTTTTACATTCATGTTTCATTACTTTCAATAGGTTGGCATGTAGCACCAAGAGTTTTTATTTTTGGTTCCTGAAGAAACAACATCTATTTTTGAATGGTTTCGATACAGGGCTTATTTCCCAATTATTAGGATGCTATGGAAGCTCTGATTAAAACGGTGGATCCTCTGGAAGCAGTTGAAGATGATGTTTCGGATGCATTATTGCAGCTGGTTGAAGAATTCGTTGATGATGTTATTGAACAAACGACACGCGTTGCTAAGCATAGGTTAACATTTCACCTAGATTTTGATGTGTTTGCTTGAAATGGTTTGTTGGATGGAGGGTGAGTTAAAATTTCTGCATTTATATGAAGATCTCACTTAACCTTTCGTTTTAAAATAAAACTTTGCTGTAGAGTGCTGCTTCAAACCAATTTTTTTTTTTTCGATAGGAGTGCGCAAAAGGTTGAGACGAAAGATGTGCAATACGTATTGGAAAGGCGATATAAGATATTCTTGCCACCGGGTTCCGTTGGTGGCGTCCAACCAACCGACCGTAATCCATATGTAAAATCTCCGGCAACCGAAGCTCATCGTCAGCGTATGTCGCTCATCAAAAAAGGTATTCAGAAACCGTGAAGGGTGATATTCATGCAAACGAAATGGTTTTGGGAGGAGGATAAGTGTAATGGTTTGTGCAACCAAAACTGTCCCATTGTTATAACAGTAGCCCCTAACTTGGCTAAGCTTAAAATTTGGCTCATTCTTTCTGGTATGAGAATATAAATTTATAAAATGCAATTTTTTAAGATTGCGAAAATCGAGAAAGCAATACTGACATGATCTTCTTTGGGAACTTTATGTTTCGTACTTTTTCATCGTGAGAGTAGTTTACTCTTCAAAAATTCGAAGTTTAGCCTCAGAATTTGGATAGAAAAAGCTGTGGTGGATTCATTAAGATACTTGGATTGAGTTTACATTGCTTGAATATACTAGCAAGTTCACGGTTTCTTTCGATAATAGAATTTTCAGTTTGAGAGTTGTATCAAATGTGATTTTTATTGAAATAAAAATCATAGAGTGAATTCCCAGAAATAGTTCTGAGAATCTGTACATTTTCTTCCCATATAATTTGTAATCTTATTCCAGTGCTTGAACTGTCCAGGATTCCGATGATTTTAAATGATTATGTTCCATAACATGTTAAACTTAGAAGTTTTTTATCGCAAAATTTAATTCAGTTGTTGATTCTTTCAGTAGTGCTGTATTAATAATTAATGTAAGGTGGTAATGACTCCAGTGGGATAATTGTAACACTACTTTCTGTGATATACTAATGCTGTGTTCTGTTCTAACTTTTGCTAATGTTTTTCTATCCTTCTTCCTTGTGATCAGTTGAACTGCTCTCGTCTCCGGTTTCCTATTTTTATGGATGTTTATTCGATTTCTGGTCATTATGTAAGTTTTTTTTTGCTTTCAGGAGGTAGAAACTCCCTATTTATCGAATTTGGCTAGTTTCTATCTGTCATATTATTTTTTTCAGTTTGGAAAGGAATGTACTTTTTCTGCATTCTTTATCTTTTACCTTCTTCAAGGTTATATTTTCTCTGAAGTATCTGTGAGTGGAAACTAACCCTGTTTGTTAAATCAACCGGTTTTTGACAAGTTATTGAGGTCGTAACATAAGAATCCCTTACATGGCTATGTGGAGACTGAAAGTATTGCTTAATTTACGGCGAAGTAACTTGAATGTGTTTAAAAAATTATGCATCACTTTGCTGAAGTGATAACCTCCACTTCTCAGAGTTCTTTCGAGACATGCTGATTTATCCCTCTTTCCCGCTACTTATCTGTTTTCTTGGCATTCTTTCATTCCAGTGAACCATTTGGAAGTATTTTTATTCATTTGTTCGGTCTCTCTTTCATTTTTGTTTGTTCTTTCTTATTCATTTTATATTTATTTTAAAAAAAGAAAAAAAAAAAAAACTTTCCCCAAAAAATTCTGTTTGCGCGCATTTCCAATGCAAGTCTCAAACAGCATGGCTGACATGTGTGTTTTTGTCGGCGATCACATAATAGATGTATCTCACTTGAGCAAAATGATCTATTTTTCGAAGTCTAAGACAGTGGTACAATAAGGATACGCAAGAAAATAGTATAAATCCCCATATGTTAATATGAATAAATTATACTGAGCTAAGCTTCATAGGTGCTTACGTTATCATCTTTACAAATGAAATTTCTTCGGCTTTCATGAGATAGGTATTGTATCAATTACATTTGCATGAAATAGAAACATAACATTTGAATGGACAACATTCTGAATCAGTAGCAAAATACACTTCTTGGTGCATTGTAATGTTACTTAGTTGTTACATGATTCTCACAATTATTAAGCTGCCGAAACGTTCCAATAGCATCAAACACATATGTAGAAATCATTGGAGACAATTTCTCATCAAATTTCTGGGGTTAATCAGATTTGTATTTAATCAAAATAATACTTCAGTAAGAATATCTCACTATTAATGCGTTTGTTGCAATTGAAATGTTACAAAGCGTGCATATCCGTAAAAATGGAAATTATTAGACACTCCAACCACATACGGTCCATTAATACTGGTCTAGGTACATGGAGAAATGTATTTCAACAAGAGAAAGAAAAATAAAAGATTGGTTATATACAAGTAATGTCCAAATATCAAAAACAGCTAAATACCTTGGAATTTCCACAAACACGCAAATCAGCAAGAATAATAATTACACCCTCAAGAAAAGCCAACTTCTAATAGACACATAAAGACGAAATTTCATTTCAGACAGCTAAATCGGATTTTAGCAAACATTAGTATAAACGAATTCCCTTGTAACTATAAATAATCGTGCACATTAAATGAAACGTTAAACTAGATACACTTCACCAGAATAATTTCCGTAGAATTAAAAAATCTTGTTTTCACAATTTTTAACAAGCAAAAGATTTAAATAAGATAGACAAAGCAAATAGTATTCACAAAGTATAAAATGATAGACAAAGCAAAATAGTATTCACAAAATATAATAAGACGACGATGCAAATAGTATTCACAAAGTAATAATTCCAGGTAGACATGATCAGAAAGTCACATTTTCAGAAAGTTCCATGTGTTGAAATAGTTTCCAAAAACTTCATCATATCAATCAGACGTTGCTTTAAAAACTGACGACCCACTCTGTCATTGTTTTCGGTTTATACGCATATGCAAACTCACTTTTTTCTCATAACGGTAGGATATCTTAGCATGGGCGCCAGTACAAGGGACAAGATATTTGTGCCGTCTTACATTAAATCAGTGCGCTATAATATGGCTTGACAACCTAACTAAGCAATAATTGGTAATGCTATTGCTCATAACCCATTTACACAGTACTTTCTGTAAAATTTAAAATTGCCCATGCAGTCCTCGCTTTTCAACGTTCCAAAATTACAACTTAGTAAGAAAAGCGTTAAACTTAACAAAACAAGCAAGTAATCAAGCTACTGAAAAAAAATCTAAGATTCAAAATTAAAAATTTGATACAGATCCAAATAATCAAATAAATGATATACAGATTAATTTCATTAACGTAATATATTTTAAAAAAACTACAAATGAAGTTACTAGATTAATAATATTAAAACTATGAAATATTATTTAAACCTACTTCAAATTCTGTGCATCTAAATTAAAAAGATTAAAAATTACGGACATTTCCAAAAGGTATTTACTGGAGAAATTCAACTACACACATTTCCAACTCAGTTATAAAATAACTGGAACAGTGGAAAAAGCGAAAACAAACCAAGAGTGAAAGTGAGAATAATAATAGTAATACTAATAATATAATAATAATAATAATAATAATAATGGTAATAATAATAGCAATGATAACAAATAAATAATAAATAAATAAATAAATAAGCAGTAACAATAATAATAATAGTAATAATGACAATACAATAATACAAAGAAAGTAATAGTTGGAAAAAAATAATAGCAATAATAAGTCAGTAAAGTATTACATAGAAAGTGGATGAAGAACACTGTCATGCCCTTTCATTTTTATTTCTAAGTTCAGAAGCTATCTAGAAGCATTTCAAGCTTGAAATAGTACTGTGCAGAAAATGGAACGCAGTACAGTCCATGACAATGATTTTTCTTATTCCCTTTCAAACCTCTGCTGTCCTCCCGCTATTTTGTCAAAAGAATGCTTTACTGACCCTTAGATCCTAAATGAGGATATAAACAGTGGGATTTAAAAAATCCTAGTTGGAGATTTAGTGTGCTGTAAGGACGATATGTTCTGCCTTCAAATATCATAATATTATATGTACTAAATAATGCAAACTAAACGATTTGCAACTGATTAATAATGATTTTAATGCCCTCGGTTAATTAAAGATTCACCTCAGGAAATTTTCGACGCACTACGCAACACACTCTTCTTAAAACAAACTCTCCCAGAACATTCCGCATCTTATTGGTCAAAGAATCCTAAAGTACTGTTATATATATATATATATATTTGCAAGAATACAGTATCCGGATATCGTTTCCTCATGAAAGAATAATGTGATGACTTATTTCCAAGTATTTTTTTCAATGGCCATAATACGGCGGAAATGTAGTATTAAGCCTGAAAAAAAAAAAAGACAATACAGCCTGCAAGCGAAATGTTAATGAAAAGTAGTCTAGCACATCTAATCCTTCATAACTTTCCGTTTCAATTATTGCAGAAAGAAGGACAAAGAAATAGGTTCACCATCTCTTCCGACTTTTTTATATTTAATTTTATAATAAGGAAACTTAAAGAAAAGGTATAAAATGGCTCCTGAAATAATAAACAATTCAACAGCAAATTAATGAAGCATATGCATTACTTACGTAGTAGCGAAATCTACGCTCGGAAATAAATTACGGATGCTAGTTTTACTTGCATCATCAACTTCGCGTTTTACATCAATCATGGGTCGTACTACAGCACAACGGGCACTTGGCTTACGTACGACACCTGTCGTAGATGGTGGAATGAGTACAGATGAATTGCTACTCAGAATCGACGAACTCATTGAACTCGCAATGCTCGCATTCTCGTTGCTCAGCCTAAACAAAAGATATATAAAAATGAGATCTCGATCGGTAAAAATCCGAAATAATGCTCATCTAACAGACAGACATTACCTAGTGGTCACACAATTCCAAGTTAAATATATCCAGTGGTAAGACCACCAAAAGTTGTAAACATATACTAACTAATAAAGCGACATACCAAAAACACCCCCAAATGATAGAACAGAAAAATCTACACTTCTACGAGGAAGTAAAAAAAGGAAAGAAAAATTAAAAAAAATTTCACATATTCTTTACATAAGAAAAAGAAAACGAGGTAATGACGATAATTTTTGATTTTCTTTCTCTGAATATATATATATATATACAGCATTTGGTATAACAATTATTCAGCAATACTTCACTTTTAGAACACATAAAGTGAAGAAATAGCAAAGAAAAATTTCAACACCGACCATAAGCTTTCTTCCCACTAATATGCTTACTTCCAGAATTTAAGGTTCCTTTTCCTTTTTTAAAATTGTTAGTTCCATTCTTCCCACCAGCATGACCGAACAGGCTTCCATATAATCACGCTCTTACATTATATGGACCGAACATTTAGGAAAGTAACAAACCCGACAATATTTTGGTCATCGTCTTCGTCTGTCGACGATAACGTGATTACTGATATTGAAGGTGATGGCGTACTTTTAACTTTCATACTTTTTGCAGTCCTATAATATTATATGCTTTAACGATTTTTTCATCTTTCTGTTTTTGTGTTAGTTATAATAAGGCTTTTTGTGAAGTATATAAAACTCCGAGAAACAATTGGGTCAATACGAAGGGAACAGAATATCTGTAGCTGGGAAGCTATGATCTAACTGCATGCTGCTTGCTTAAAACTTTTAAACTGTGAATATTTCGCAAATATGCTCATTGTTCTGTTTTCATACAAATAAAATTTAGTGTGATAACCGTACGTTAGTGAGTCGCTGAATATATAATCTAGTTTACCAAATTTCCCAGTTTTTAATTTCAGACCTTCCATTTTATGCATTAATGATTTTGGACCAACAATAGTTACAGCTTTAATCAACATCATAGATTCAGAAGCAGACAGACAAAGAGGAAAAGAAAACAAAGAAAGACAGGAAGACTGCTACGTTAACTTTTTCACACTTCCTTTAATTTTTTATAAAACCGAGAGCTGATATAAGATCCCATGAATTTTATGGAAGAAAGCTTGTGGTCGGGAATCATACTATTGGCAATGTTACATAACCCAACAAAAAAGAGCAATATGACTAAGCAGAAAAACCTACCGTGCTGCTTCAAGTTGGTATTTTGGTGTTTCTAAACCTGACGCAGTACTATTCATCCGCGGTCCAGCTGCTATAATTGCCGGATCTTTCGCAAGGCCACTCGGGCCCGATCTCATACGTAGGTTTGATAGGTTAGTATTTGTTGGCAGTGATCCATTTGAGTTTGTTGAAGTTGTCGGCGCCTGCCGTCCACGAACCTGTTGTTGTTGTACAAGATCGCTCTTAAATATCGATATCAATTTTACCAGAAAACACATAAATTCCTTGCTCACTCATCTTCCTCTCTTCAAACATAGACTTTCTCCTTTTTACATTTTACAGAAAACCAAACAATATCAAAACGAACTTTTCCAAAACATGACATCGCAGTATAAAATCTGTCAAAGGCTCCAAATAGCAAAAAACGTATGGTAACAGTAATGCATACCCAAAATAGAGCGGCAGGATCTGTATTTGCTAAATCAGGATAGTTTTTAATTTGTGGTGCTAGAAGATGCGAAAAAGGACTGCCCGCTGCCACCGCAGCAGCCAATGCGGCAACATTACGCGTCGTTTGCAAATGCGCAGGTAAGATGAATTCATTAGCGAAAAGTGCTGTTGTATTTGGAAGAGTCCACGGCATCAGTGACGCAGTAGCTGCTTGAGTCCACGCCGCTGGAGCAGGAGGGATAGCCTGCGTTGCCAGCATTGGACCATCCACAAATGGAATTGAAACAAGTTGTGGCACCAGGGTTCCAGCTGCTGCAGCTGCAGCAGCATGTGGATTCATGAAACTCGCGAACGGAGCTTGACGTGCAGCTGAAATAGGATTAATACTTCTACATCAAACATTTCAAGCATTAGTGTAAAAGAACGAGGAGAGAGAGGCAGAAATAGTGATTTGCTGCAAAAATCGCGATCTTCCTGTCCTTTCTATACACATTTTCATTAATAAAGTAAGATTTCGGAAAACACTGCATGAATTTGCCTACTTATTAAACTTCGAAATATCCTTATAAATTTCTCAAAAATGCGCAAAAATGAGGGGGATAATCCTCTAATCTCAATCAGAAATACAATTTTTTAAGTTACGAAGATAAAAGATTAACAAAATGATGGAATGCATACGATTATCCAGTTCCCGGTAAAAGGGAGCAAACATAAGTTATAAATGCGATAAACGAGTAGCAAAGTAAAGGTATAAAAAGTTACCATACGGATAGACGGTTAAAGGCTGATAGACAAAGGGTAGATTGCAGCTTTGCGTGCCGGCAACAGCTGCTGCCGCAGTTGCTGCACCATACTGATTCAGTAAGTGTGTAAGTTCCGCTTGTTGAAGTTGTGGCACTTGTGGTATCGTTGGAGCGACATTTTGTGGTGCCGCTGCGGCCACCGGTGCATTAATTATAGGAGCCGATGCACCAAGAGTTACTGTTGGTGCAGATGACTGTGACGCTGTGGCAGCATTACGATGCTGTAATAGCTGTGAATGTGCAGCTGTACGACCATTACGGTTGCACACTTCCATTCTTTGATGCGCAATCTGATTACTGAAATTAATGAGCATGAAATACACGAACTGAATGATACAGACAACTGATATGCAGCGAGAGCAAATTTAGGGAAGTACACAAATATGTTCAATATTACTTGAGATTTAACTCATCGGATTCCAATATCACCTTTCGCAGAGACATCAGTAGCCGAATGTCACCTATCACTATTAGCAAAGCAGTCCATTACAAACTAATCAGCACTATGCAGAGATTTGAAACACAGTTTCTTAAAATGTATTGAACTTCTAATCATTTATAATAGCAGACCTAATTCGATGAAAACTGCAAGCACTCAACTGACAAAGGTATCATACTTGTACACCAAAAAATTATTTCAGTATGTTCAAATTTTATTTGCAAAAAATCTTCTGCTCTGCTACACCCAGCTAATGCATTTCACAATACTTAAATCAAATGCAGCAACATTAAAAATCTAAAAATCCGAAAAATTAAAAACAAACTATTTCGTTGGACCATAAACGAAAACATGTCCCATTGTAACGAATGGATGCTGAAGACCTTCAGCTGGTGTAATACGTTTATCTTGATCAATGCTCAGCATTTTCTTTAGAATGTTTACAAAATCAGCACGATCCAACTGCTCACATTCCTTATCAACATCATCCAGATCTGTTGGAATATTTACCTAAAATTCTCATTCCTAACAACAGGAAAAGCATACTACAGTGGAAAATCTCTGCCGCTTTCTGATGCTTACCACATTCAGCTAACTACAAAAAGAGAGAAAAAAAACTTTTGATAGTATTCTTATTATTATTGCCCAATGCTTCATTTCACCACCATATCTGTATTTCTCGAAATCATCGCCAAGTTGAAATAAACTTTGTCATTCTACCATTTTTATGAATATCCATTTTGCAAATGAGAAAACCACACCTGCGAGACGTCATCCAAATTGTTGAATACATATTTTCGCGTTTCTTTTGATTTGCTAGATGTCTCTTGCTCATGTTCTTCTGGAGTCTTTAAACGCCAATACGGTGCCACACCATTATCGTGAATCTAAAACTGTAATGCGATAACAAGATGCGAGCTATCAGAAAAAAATCCATGAGTTTAAATAACCTCCCAGTATGAACAATAAAAATTAATACACAATCAATCCCTAAATAAACATCTACCCTTAGGTAATTAAAATTCTAAAGCATTATTCGCACGTTTTACCAATCAGATATCTCTAACAGATTCTGGATATCAGCAATCGTGTTCCTGAGTTAAAACACATGTTAATCAGTATTGTAACACCCACATTATGGCGGTCATTTCGATAGCTGAAACCCGGACTTAACCGCTAAACTGCAGAAGTGGCTAGCCAAGAATATACAAGAAGTGACTGTATGACCTGCTTGAAGAAGCGATGTGTTTTGGCTGCTGTTGATAACATCTGCAACGGCGGCGGTCCCTGAGTTTGCACAATGTATCGGATTTGATCAAATTCGCTGCTGCCAGGATAAAGCGGCCAGCCGAGGTATAATTCTGCTATCACGCAACCTAATGACCACATATCGATTGCTTCACGGAAAGGTAAACCGAGAATTATTTCCGGAGCTCTAAAGCGAACATTACTAATGCTATTTTTCATGTCAAATCATTAGCAAGAAGCTAAGATAAGTTATAATAATAAGCTATAAAACATAGGGATTATTTTATCATGGCATTTTTAATTGATCCCTATCAACGTTAGAACGAACACTCCCCTTCCTCTCTCCCCCCCCCCCCCCCCCCCTCCGCCTCCAGTGCGACATTAACTTGCAGTGAATGAGCAAGTGTACTGCAAGTCGGTAACTGCATTCTCATAGCACTGAACACACGATGTGATGGCTAAAAGCATAATAAATATTAATGTACTATTATACTAACAATAACAAAATATCTAAATGAACGCTTCTTACGGAACTACCATGTAAAGCTTAATTAAGAAAAATTCTAGAAAACGTCAAAACTAAAGTATGAATCATGCTAACAATAAAAAATAAGATTTGTATGTCTAAACCGGTAATAGCGTGATTGGAGGTAGGTATTTGTAACTGCTTTGCTCCTGTGCGATGCGGAACCAAAATCAATAACCTTCACTCGAAATGGTTGGTTTGATGGGTCAACTAACATTATGTTTTCCGGTTTCAGGTCCGCATGAATCAAACCCAAATGCTTCAGTTTCAGCAGTGCAGTAAGTACCTGAACAGTGTCAATACACTACAAACAAAAACAAACAACTGCATTACCTTCACCTAAGCAAGATACAAACTTAAAAAACTGTCTACTGCTCAATCCAATACGATTTATTATGCCTAAGCGATAACTAGATACCACACAGAGTTGAACAGGGTGATAACCAGCAATGTGAGCTTCCAAACCACTCAGTCAAGCAAATAGTAAGCAGAAATTGGAAAAATCAACCAACCTGCTGAACAATCGGCCTGATACTAGAAAGTGGCAATGGGTTGAATTTATTTTGCTTCAAAAAATCATATAAATTTTGCTCCAGCATTTCAAATACTAAACAGGTATGGTGCTTGTGCTGGAAACATTCGTAAGCTCGAACAAAATTGAACTCCTCTGCATTCTCATTGCTCAGTCTTGATAAAATTGAAACCTAAAACAATCATTCAATAATTACACTTGCAGTGAAGCTGAAACCTTTCGGCACTTCCTAACAGACTGATAGTAGTAATAGCAGAAATAGGATAGGTCAATACCAAAATAGCACCTGTTAAATAACCAGATTTCTGTTCCTAAAAATCACAGCTGCTATCCTTAAGCATAAATGAACCCTGTATGCTAACAGAAACATTGTCTTCCCTAAGCCATTATTCCCAGTGCTACTATGGCAATCACTTCCACTGAGTTAGAATGCAAAAATAACATGCCTCGATTTGTCCTTGGCGCGCGTACGACGGATGCTTCTTGAGTATTTTAATTGCAACAATTTCATTCGTCCCTTTTTTCCATGCTTTGACAACTTGCCCAAACGTACCTTTACCCAAAAATTCCAACACCTCATATTGATTTCGATAGGGAGAGACGAGCACCTCATTTTTGATCAGCTGCAAAATAGTTCTACCTAATAAACTTTCTACAAGAAGGTATTTCCATGATGCGGAAGACTGATTAAGTAACATGGAGATTTAGGCTGAAGCTAGATTTGTCATCTTAACTCTCATGCTTTACGGTAGCACCAGAGAGCTTATCTATTGAATTCATCGGAAAGCCAAAAATACGTACGTCACGGTCTTCTTAATTTTCAGAATACTTCCAACAGACATTTTAAAATGATGCTAGCAAATAACAAAAATAAATAGGGAAAAATTTAATATCATAAAGAAAATGAAAGGCAATGTACAACCCCATAAAAAAACTTTAAGTGGTTATAAAAAAATTCCAGTTATATATATATATATAATTAATATATATAATATATAATTAAATATATATAATATATAATTAAAAATATATATATATAATATATAATTAAAAAAAAGAATGCATTACTACGCTTATTTTACTTTCCTTTGACAAATTTTTTTAAAAGGAAAAACCTGATATTCTCCTTCGGTGCTGGGCTTCGTACGGGCGCTCGTCTTATTGTTGAACTGTTTGTTGCTATTCGTTTTGATTCCCGTCTTATTTCCTGGTAATGAATTCACTACTTGAACTGGTACGTCTACCTGGAACATTCATTTACCTCTGTATTTAAAGTCTTATGAATTAGAAAACAGAAAGAGCTGAAAACATAGATAATAAAAGTTACGAGGGAATGAAATTTTTTTTCTTAGAGATGTAATGATGACGGCATATCAAGATCAATCAAGCAGATGAAAGCAGTAAAGTCACTTCAATTTTGTTCATTGGGTGCAATACAAATGAATAAATTGATAACAACGTGCCGATAACAGTCCAAAAGACTAACAAATTAGGTTAATCTTTCACATGATAAATAATGTGAACGAAGAAAACTGTTCTTTCTTCTCTATGGCTAAAAAAGATAGGAAAAAGAAGTCAACCTCGCATGTCCAAAACTTAACTACATGAAATGTTTTGGAAATTTTGATAAACGCTTATGAGTGGTTAGGGTGCAGAATAGCAAGGATAACTGCTGCTTTTTATTTAAAACTATAAAAAAACAAGCACTATCTGCTTATTTATTCATGCCTTATTTCAATCAACACACGACGACTGCGTGAAAGCAACAAGTGAACACTATACTTAAGATTATTTCATGCGGTTATGCCCACATATTCATGTGACGTGTCTTCCGATAAGTTCGATAATAGTACAATATATGTCCAACAGACTCTACATTGTTTTATCGAAAGAGTTTTTCCAATACTAGCAAAATTATTCCATGTAACGTTTTTCTGCCGACGATACGATTGTATATCAGATACAACCATATAGTGATTTCTCCAAAGTACTTTCCGGACATGATTTTTTTTAAATTGTGTCACACCAAGTAGCGAGTATACTAAACAAATAAAGCATCATGGAACATGGGGTTTGTCATTTTAAAAAACAAATGCAGCAAACCTTTGAGTTTTCAGCTTGATCTACAGGTTTACGTTTGATTGGTGGAGCACGGTGATCGGTTGTGGTTGCAGATGTGTTGTTATGCTGTGTGTATGCTTCGTGCAGTTGCTGCAACTAGCTAAAAGTTAATTCTACTGGAAATTCCATATAAAATACTTTTACCTGAACTGGCCTGCTGGTTCATAATAATATGGTCTTAGTGATCAAACTTATCATTGTTTGGACACACATATTAAACAGTAGCATATAAGGGTTAGCTGGTAATGCACTCATAAGCCATTATACCTTTTTAACAATTGATCTATTAGTGCGGCTATCTGCCTAATGTTAAACAATCAACGACGTCCCAATGTGGTTTTAGCTTATTAGCTTATATAGAAATAACCGAAGTATGTCCTGAAGTTGCCACTTTCATATCGCATGTTTCTATGTTGGATTTCCTGGAAACACCGTCCCTATGTTTCCAAGTTAGCTGTTTGATATGGAACGAATACCGTGCAAAGAACGTGACATAAACTTGCTCTCGTCTCACGCATTACAGAGAATTTGTAAGTGGAGTTTTTCCAGGACTTGACAGGACTTTTTTCAACATACTGATTGCGACAGGTATACGGCCATTGGCTTTAACATTAAAGAGCAGAATGATGTCATATATTCAGATTGAACAATGTAAAGCTTGCATCTAAGTGAGTCAAGCCCACTGCTATGAATTTGTGAACGGAAACGCGAGCACAAAATACTGAAAACTGCTGAAACCGTCCAGTCGTGCTTGGTGTATCTGTGTCTCCGAGAGTGTCATAATACACATTGAAACAAACATGCAGTTAGACATCAATTCAAGAATCACCTATTTCCCAATGTTCTTCCAATGATAACCGTGAAAGTTACAAGGCATTTCAAGGTTTAGCCTCAATCCTCTCCTATCAAAGCAATCAGCAGAAAAAAAAATGTGAAAATTTTCGGAACAAAAGAAACATATGGTGAAATAAAAGAATATGGCTACCACATTTAGAGAAATATGATGTGTTGTAAAGTTCCTTGATAAAACTGAACTGAAATCACCAATGTGGCACAGTCAACCTGCATAAGCCAGTAGCATAGATCATTAAGTGAACGCTTAGAAAAAACGGAAAATGATAAACTCACCGTGTGATTACTTGGTGTATTGGCCAAAGTTGGCATCAGTTGATGCTGCTGCTGTTGGTGATGCTGATTAAGCAGCTGTTGTAAGGGGGCAACAGAAGGCTGGCCCTCTGAATATTTACGCTTCCGGCGGCAACCGTCTTGTGGGTCGGGCATACCAAGGAAAACTCCAACGTGAATGCCGTCAAAACTGCTTATCCCGTTGGAAGAGACTTGACTGCTTCTGTCACGGCGTGAACGTACACGTTTTCCGCTACAGCGTTGGAGCACAAGTTTCCCGTCACGACGTAGGTGCAAACACTTCCCGTCGCCGGTTTACGAGTATTACGCCACCAAGAACGTACATATACATAAGCACAAACGTATGCATCGTGCTGATGATGTGTCACCACCACCACTGCCACCAACTACCGCCAATAACCACCCACACACCAGTAGAGTTCACTTTTCCACCTGTCGTCGTCAGATTATTTTTACGGAAGCAAGTAACGTCCCGCCACCGCGCGTGTCAAACGTGTCGTCAAGTCAACAGACGTGGACGCTTATGTTAATAAAGCCTTAACTGGCCCTGTCAACCACGACAGATTTCCTCCGCACCTCGCGCTTTTGCTGCTTTATCGCCACTGCATATTGCATACCCACTTCTGCTCCTATCGTTGTCTAACCATTTTCATTTCTTTGCTCACGTACTTTTACAAAGTAACAAGTATACACTCTCCTTCCCCCCTGTCTTCTCATTTAACCAACGGCGATACGCAGCTACGCACAACACATTATGAGCCGATACGCTGAATAATATAATCCGCAATGCTATGGATCGATGTGGATGACACCATTAAGAGACACATCAAATGTTGACGAAAGTTGTCGATTATGGAGAGGGGCAGACAGAGGTAGAAGAGGAGAGAACATATGTGTATATATGCGTGTATATGTGCATGTGTGTGTGTGTGCTTGTGTTTTTGTATGTGTAGTGTATGCGTGTTTCTACGTGAGGGTCAGGGGTACGTGAGGCGTGGGTGTCTCGCTGGGCTACGTTTCTATATACTTTGTGTTGCGAGAGAACATGTAATGCTGTCAATTTCAGGTTTAGGGTAAGGGAAATGCTGGTAAATCGTACAATATTAATATATGGAATTAATCGGAAGGGATGGAATGGAGGAGGTAAGTGGATTAATTGCTGAAAAAGAAAATAAAAGCCTTTCACTCCTAAAATTTCATCTTTCTTCTTTCAGAGTAATATTAAAAAAAAAAAAAAAAAAAAAGATCCGAATTTTAAACAACGGATGAAATGAAAATTTGGAGTGGAAATGTATTAAATATGTCGAAACATTTATAAAATTAAGAAAAAAAAAAAGGGAAAATGGAAATGATCAGAAGCAGATTTTACCTTAAAGACACTGTTTGACCTTTAACACTCCTACCAGTAATATCCAACTGATATTTTCATCAAATGCTTGCATGATTTGTTAGGGGAATTTTTGTATTTTATGTTAAAGAATTAAGAATGCTTTCCGGTTACAATTTCCTGATGAGCATATGTTTAAATATAAAATGAATTGTATCATATGAAATTTGAAAATAATAGGGAAGGTTAACAAATTCAAGTAGTTTAGTAAATGGAAAAGAATTCACATAGAATTATACAATGTGTATTGATGTCAACATTGATAACATCTGCATATACATTAATCGTCTCCACTAAAAGATTATATATCATTATGAGAAGCTTCCTGAACCGATCGATTTGTTGTTAATCCATTATTGATTGACTGACTGATTGCAGATCACCTATTTGTTTGCCATAAAAATTAAAAGCCGATTTTATGTATTTTTCGTTCTTTCGCTTCTGTGCAAATATTTCAACTGTGATATTACCAATTTTGTATCAAACGAGTCACCGATATTTACCAATTGCTTCTTTAATTTAGCTATATTTTGTATAAATTTTCTATGCTTAATATTGTTAAATCATTCTGCATTATTTTATTAAAGGCTTTCCTGCACTTTATTTGACTCTGTGTAGTTTAAAAGAATTTATTTTTCATTTACCAGTTAATACTTTCATTTGTACCGTATTTCATCCTTGACATTGTTCATGATTAATTTTATCACTGAAATCTATTCATTATCATTTTTTAACAATAAAAGTAACATCATATCATGTTTTCTATTTATTTCATATTTAATACTATGTTCCAAAGTATTATTTGTTAGATCAAAGTATGTAAATGTAAATTATCATTTCGGAGGATTATTGCTTTGCTCCTATATTCTAATAGGGAAAAAAAAAAAGGAAAGAAAAATGGAGTAAAATTGGTTTCATAAAGAATATTAAGAAGTTTACAATCTCTGTCGATTTCTTTCTCTCTCTCTCTCTCTCTTTTTTTTTTTTCTTGCAACATAATTCAGCGAATAAAAAACTAAATACGTTTAATGGCTACTAATAAACGAAGAGTGGAGAAGAAATGGCAATATTTCAGCAGATTGAAGTTTTCCCTTGTCTGTTCTGAAATATTAAATTGCAAAAATTAATATAGCATTACCTTTAAATGAACTCTTTGCGTTAATAAATTATACAGATTCTTCGCCCAAGCGACGAAAGAATACATAAGCAGGTAATTCTGACAAGAAACTTTCCATCATGAAAATAACAATGACTTGAATTCTCGAGAAAAAAAAAATGAAAATTTGTGTCTTTTCTGTAAATTTGCGACAATCAATCACCTCATGAAGTTTTTAAAACTTTAACTGTTCAGTAATCAAAATGAAGGCCGTCCTGCAGAAATCATCTCTGATCATTTGAAAATATGGTAGTCTTCTTGCTTCTAACATTTTTTGTTATATGAACATTAAATTAAGAACCTAAAACCCAAAAATAATTCTCTTAGAAGGAAACAGTCTTTTCAATTCTAATTCTAATTTAGTTTAAACAAATGGATCATAATATGTAGTTTGAGATAATATCACATTGTCATTGTGTTTATTGTTTTGATTAAATTATTTAAAGAATCATTTCTTTTTTCTTTTTTTATTTAGTATGCTTGAAACTATTTATATGTCTTTCTTTTTCTTATTGGATGAAAAAAAAAAAATAATAATGATAATAATTCGTAAGGTAACTGAACATGAATATTATTTTCAATATACATCATTAATTACATCATTTGTTTTTTTCCTCTTTACTAAGACGAGGATTGAATGATAAACTGATCTAGCATGGCAACTTATTATTTAAAAAAAGATGTCAAACTGACACGAAATGCTTCACATACAATTATTAATTTTTCTAAAAACAAGAATGAAATTTAAGAATTCAAGAAGCTTAACGATTTTGATAATATCAACTGTTAATCAATTAGTGTGATGTAAACGATATTAACTGTTAACCATTTAAATTCACTATTATAGTATTAATAGTTAAGCGAATCGTGAGGAAATTTTCAGAATTGTTTTAATTTGAAACGTTAACAGTGTTTATTGAACGACTTCAATTATTAATACTTTATATTCCGGAAATGATATTGAAAATAAAACCGTATAACTTATTCAAGTTTTCAACATCTAATATAAGACAAATAATGCCAAATTTTAGATATATCCAAAAATAAAATATTGCATATTATTATTTACAGACATATAAAATTGTTTCCATATAGTATTAACGGTAGCAATCAATAACAGTTCCAAAACTGTTTTTGTACTTATAAGATCAGATAAGATGATTGACACTGATGACAATAATGTCGGAAATGAATTAATTTTATTATTTTTGAATTAATTTTGTTATTATAACGAAAAAATGTTTTCAAATTCCAGTTAATCCGAAAAAGAATAAATGAAACAAATGAAAAGTGTCTAATAAATCATATCAAGCATTTAAAAAATTTTCAAAATTTTTGTTAAATTTGAATCAAATATTCTGATTAAATACTTAGATTTAAAATATGTCAAACTGTGCATGCAAGAATTAATAACTTATTTATTAATATACACTAATTAAATTACAGTAAATTTGTTACAACAGAATTTACAGTTTATCATTTGCTATGTAAAAACGGTGCATTAAACAATCTAACTTTAACTTTTTACAATGGATTTTCGTAAATGCTTTTGAACTTCAAACTAAAGTGAGAAAATTTTTCATCGATAGTTAATGGATACGAAAATTGCTGGTTTTTCCTTTTTTTTTTTTTTGTTTGCGTTTCGCATTTATCATTCTCAGAGATAGTATTTACAGATCAAAAGTCAGATTTTTTAACAAAAAAGTGTTGGCATGAAATAAACAACATAAACATGAAATTTTTGAATTTAAAAACTTGAAAACTGCTATTTGTTGTTGATATTATAAATATGAAAAAGTTTCAGTCTTAGGTTTTGTCCCTTTTTTTTTCTAAATATCAAAATTGTTATCATTTCGCACTAAATCTTTATAACAGTTGAAAGTATGAAAATAGATATAAGAAAAAAAAAAAAATAAATTAAACAGTTGAAAAAAAAAAAAGAAAAGAAGGAGAAGAAATCTAAAAGCAAATGAATTGAATAGTTAGTGAAAGAGATTTTACTAATGAAAATTATTTACCATTGCCCATTTTCCAGTTCTTTTAGAATCACATTTGTAATTGCGGTAATAATGAAAAGATTGGGTTAAAAAGTCTTTAAACGGTGAAAATTACATTTCCAAACTTTTCTTTTCACTCCTCTATTCCTCTTTTGTCCTTCTCTGTGACCTCCGCTCCCTCGTTCATTCATCCTTTTTACCATCATTCATTACACTTTTAATTAATACTCCATTGCGTAGCACTTAAATATTCCTGACAACTACTGTACCTGTACTGCATCATTTTTCTCATCAGTTCAAATTTTATCATCTCATCATGCTGTACGATAAAAGTCAATTGATAAAGTCAGTTGATAAATGAACCGGAAGTTATCTTGATTGCATCTGATTAAATTGCTTCTTATTTATTGATTTATTTTTAAATATATATATGTGTTACTAGACAATTTTATTCAAATTTGAGAAATAAATCGCATTTAGTTAAGCAATTCGTTCTTTCTTTTTTGATTTTTTAATATATTTTTTGTTCCATCATTTCACGTAACTCACATATACCTGTTTTATTTTTCAATTTCAGGTTTTAATTTGTTCCTTTCCCTTTCTTTCGCTTTGCTCATTTTTGATAACGAGAAAAAAAAAAGGAATGAAAAACGAATAAACTTTTTATACATTTTGATTTGGTTGAAAATTCGTTGCCGTTATACAAACAAATTTTGCGTGAATTAGTTTGCATCTTTTTCGTGAATCTCGTTTCCATTCAAGGAAGAAAACAAAGAAGAAAAAAAAAAAGGATGTTGAAAATTTTTTGCTAGATATACGCTATCACTGAAATTCTTTGTAAAATACTTGAAAAAGAGGCACTTTTCTCTGTATATCGCCAATTTATTTGCTCGAATACATTTCAATGATGCACTTTGATTTCATAATTTTATACCATTCATTGAATTTCAAAATTTGCTCCATAACTATTAAATTTACAAGAGAGAGAGAGAAAAAAAAAAGATAATTCATAAAAAGATTTCTTTCATTCACCAAATATTTTCATATTTTCCCATATGGATAATTATAAACTAAATTGCTTTACTCCTAAAAATTCACCACTCATTTCTTGGATGGGTTACGAAGTATTAACTATGCATCTGTTATTTAAAATTTAATCGATTTTATTTTATTCTTTTGTTTTTCGCCATTTTCATTGATCAAGTAGGTAATTACTTAGAGTAAGAAAAAAGCAGCAAATTCAATTCATAAAAAAAAAAAAAAAAAGAAATTGATTAAATATTCAAAAATTTTTTTGGCATAGATATCTGTTTTTTTGTTTAATTATTTATGATTAAATTTCCTATTTCAGCATAATCGTATATTGCGGTGATATTTTCTGCAAAATGTCATCCGTCAAATTACTTAGGAGAGATTTTTCATGTCATCAATTTTTGTTCTCCTTACGCTAGAAATTTGTTTTGTCTTCATTTCATTATTACAGAAAACAATGAAAGAATAACTATTAAATAGTTCCGTTAACGTAACTTATGTTTTCTTATCTTTTATATGTTTGCCATATATGACTTATATTTTACCTAATTTTTAAGCTATTAAATCGTAGCTTTTTTTAAATAATGAATTATTGCGAAGTATAAAGAATTATTCAGTAATTATTAGAGTGATTTTAATGATAAATTTCTTCTACATAGGTGAAAAATTAAAATGGATTCACTAATAACTTCAGCTACCAATCCCAATGTTACTCAATCAAATGCTGAAAAAGTTAGTATTCTTCCAATTATTTTTGAAAAAAAAATTATCATTTACAAATGTATTAAAGATTTGATAAAATTAAATGATTGTGGAATAATTGTAAATTCCAAAAATGATTTTACTTTAAAAAAAAGAAAAAAAAAAAAAGAAAGAAAGACAATTAAAGTATGCGGAAGGAATGCGACATGCCAATGATGCATTACAAGACATGATGGATCTGGTCAATACGCCTGATTTCGAGAATCGTGAAGGATGGAAACAGAAAAGTGCTAATAAAAATGATATTGTCTTCTCAAAACATTATGAAATAGGAAAAGTTTTCACTATGAGGGTATATTTTTTCTCTTTTAATTTTTTCATTTCTCATTTTAAGCGTTGAATTTTTTAGATTATTACATCACTATATGAGTAATTTTCACTTTAAATTAACTTTTGCTTCTTTTTTTTTTTTTCAAATAAAAAAGAAAAATGAAAGAATCATACTAGGAAAATTTTTAAATTTCGGGATTTGTTAGATATTTTTAAAGCATATTTCCAGCTTAATTTCACGCCTGTAAAATGAAATTGGCAAATATAAGTGTTAGCATTATTTATCGTCCTTCTTTCTTTTTTTTTTTTTTTTTAATTTTGTTGCAGACTATCTTCGATTTTCCACTACAGCCATCATTCGCAGAACATTGGGAAAATTTTGCCGACATTGCGAAATATAATAAAAATATTTCAAGTGTTAAAATTATTGCTGAATTGGCATCTAATATGGATGTCGTTTATGTAAACATTTGAAATGTTTGAAACTATTTGCAATTGAATGTATTATGACCGAATTCGATCAGAAATTGCGTTAGATAATTGAAATGGAACGAACAAACCATTATGATAGGAAAATTCTCGTCTACATTAAAGAAAATAGTAGTGAGATAAATAATTAGCGATTCTATTGGAATTTATAAAAGAAAAAAAAAAAATTCGGGATTGTCACATTTTAAAAACTTGAACAAATTGATATCACTTCTTTCAAATTTCATGCAATTTCGTCTTCTTATTTTTTTCTTTTTTTTTTGCGTCTAAATAGTAGTGTTTCAGTATGCAATGAAAGATTTTGCAAAGATCAAAGGACGAGAGTTTCTGATGTGTCGTACATTTCGTAGCTCTGGTAATGAAATACTTGAAGCAGCACGAAGTTTCGATTTTTCGGGTGCTGAGTGTAATCCTCAAAAAATTCGGTCAGTCATATTCTCTAGCTTCTTCTATTCAATTTGTGAGATCATTCTGATAAAAAGGAAGAAAGTTTAAATTAACTTAAAACTAACTTTTTAAATTCAAATGTAACTCATTCATTTAAGTCGGTTTCAATCAATCTTAAATTATATATATATATATATATTGTGTCGAGAATTGAACTAAATATATATATATATATATATTTTAGTTCAATTGTTAGAGTATTGTTTCTATCAGTTATTGTTAAGTAAGATTGTGTTTGTTTAGCTTTAGTATGCAATATACAAATTTATTTCAGAGGGCATGTAATACTTGCCGGTGGACGTTTTCGTGTTTGTCCTGAAGATTCAGCAAAAACTGTTGTGGATTACGTGATGTGCGTGGATTTTAAAGAAAAAAATATTCCGAAAATCATTATGGATGCTACAATGAGTACACTTATCATGCAAGATGCTGAATATACAAGAAAACAAATTGAAAAATTGAAACAGGAAGCAGTATAACACGAACCAATTTACAATATAATATTAAGCAATTTTATCCATTCATCTCTATCAACATATTTGAATATCATCAACATGTAATTTCAAAAGAAAAAAAATGCTATCAATAGTTATCAAAACTATACCATAGTATCCAGTGAAATCAAGAGATAAGTTAAACAATTTTTATTTATTTTGTCTCTCATTCCTGTTTTATTTGAGATATATTTCTTCGGCATAAAAAAAAAAAAAAAAACTTATGCTTAATTTACAGCAACAGATAAACTACATGTTCAATAACTGTAAAACTAACATTATACAATAAATGCATAAGATTTTTTTTGTAATGGAAATTTCAAAATTATTTTATCAGTCACTACAGTTGAATTCATTCCGTAAATAATAAATTAATGATGAGAAAGAGGTGACTGGAAGAAGAGAATAGATAATTAGATAATATTAGAGATGCTGTCGTTAAATGTCTATAAGAAAGTGTTTATTTAGGCATACCAATTAGAAATGAATGGGAATGAATAAGAAAATGATATAAAAGAAATAGGAATTTGATTAGGACATTGTTATGGACTTTATCGTTAAAAGTGTCTTGCTATTATCAAGAAAGGTATGTGAGATTATCAACGAGAAGAGGAGGAATAAGAAAGATAACGGTAAGAAAAGCGGGTTTTCAAGGACAATATAATTAAGTTAAATACATCAAGAATTAAGTCTTCTTGTGTGTGTGTGTGTGTGTATACGAGTGTGTACGTCTATGTGCCGCTACCATACATAGGTGTACGTGACGGTTTTGTGTATCTTCTACATTTCTACATATTAAATTTTGATGATCTGATTTAGACCATAATAAATCATTGACTCAAAGTCTCTTAGCTGCTATGTAGCAATAATTTTCCGCTTCGAGAATGATATTTAACAAAAATTTCCAGTCACTTCCTAAAATGTTGCTGAAGTAAAAAAAAATAAAATATAAACTAAAGGTCTTTTTTTTTTTTTTGTTTCACTGACGCTATGAGGGTAAGTACTTTCTGTAACCAATCTATTTCATAACAATTTATTAAAATGAAACAAGTTCTATCAAAGCAAAAATACTGCAAATTATTACAAAGTTAGCTTAATACATCATTTAAGTTCAAAAACACAATTAATTTATTTCTTCATATTTTAAAAACTTTAATTCAAAGTACTCGTCGGTATTATAAATTACTTAATTACCTTTGCGATGAATTTTCTACAGTAATACAGCTTAGGAAATGGAAATCGCAAATGGAAGTTACATAGTAACTTTACAATACGGTACCGCACTTGGAAAATCACATACGCTAAGTGCGGGATTAAAAACGGTATGCTCTGGGCAAAAAAACTTTTCCAGTTTGCCCCACACACATCGATAAAATACAGAGCAATCTTTTTCGTCTGCCAAGTGATCACCGTGGGATTTTCCTTCACAATTTGAACCTGCTGCTAACGAACTGTTACCTATGAAAATAACCTATTTTAGGCAAATTCCAAGAATTCTTTTAGAGGAAATTTGAAAAATATTTTGAAAAATACTAGCTAAAATATTATGAATACAAATTACCTTCTTCGGATTTTTCAGAAGTAATAGCACACTCTGGCACATTGCTTTTATAATCACAGCCACCGGATATCTCGTTGAAAACAAGTCCATCATCACATGGCAAGTGTTCAAATATCTCTTCGCCGAAACACTAAAGAAGGTACAGCACTAGAATGTGTTATCTTTATACATCTAGAATCCTATATGTAGAAATTTTACCCAACAGCTTGGATTACCTGTAAGATTCTTGCACAGTCTGTAGGATGCCGATAAAAGCCATTCGGTCGATGAATACAAAAATCGTCGGTGTCGTTAAATTTTTTTATACTATCGGTTAGTGTAACCAATCCCTGTTGGCATTCAGGATTCAGAGAAAGTGACATGCATGCACCAGCTGTTGCAGAAAATGTCTCCAAATGTTTAAAACAACGTCTCCGAATTGGAACACCCTAAACGTATTAGAATCTTATCAAAAATAATACCTTCATTAAAGCTTATATGTTTAATACCAGCCTACCTTCTTGCATACGTAATATTCACTTAAACATAGACCAATTCCTTTCGAAGTGCCATCTTCCACACCATCACACTTTTCTTTTGTTAATGACACTGATTCCGCAATAGCATCACCAACCATTCCACAAACTTCAGCTGGTACACAACGTCCAACATCTTCATCAAACAAGTAGTCACTTATGCAGTATGACTAAAACGTAATAATACTTAATGGGCAAAAAGAGAAGGAGGAAAGCGATCAGGAAGAAATAAATAGAATAATATGGAAGAAGATACCAACGGATAAAAAACGAGGATGGAAAAACGGCAAAAATCAAAAAGAAACTTTACTTCAGTTTTTTCCCTTTCTTTTCACTTCCAATATTGGCCGAGTTGTAAATTGTCATTTGACAATACTTACTTTATGAGGACTTCCATTTCCACTTCGTGGACAAAAAATAAAATCTGTCCGACAATGCCCGTATGCTGCACTTTGACCTCGTGAGATTCGGCAAAGCGCTTGTATCGTTTGATTTGAAGCATTAGATGTTCTCAAATCCACAGCATGAATGGTCGAAATCAAATCTTTTTCCGAATGGGATGTTTCTAAAAAATCGTAATTCCAAACATAACAATCAGAGTTTAAGAATTCATCAAAATTTCAAAAAAAAAAAGACGAAAAATTTACCGTATGCTCTTTTTTTAAATGGAATTCCAGTTTTACCACCACAAGCAGCAACATTTTGTGCATGATCACAACGATTAGTGTTGATATTATACACTAAGCCTTCCTGACAAAAGAATAAATGTTGATTACTGTTGACGCAGAGGACAAATTTTCTTGAACAACCTTTTGACATTATACCAATGAATCCATCCTCGCATTTCCATCGTTTGAGTGCTTAAAAATTAAGGAATCAATCAATAATTATATTATTATAGCCAAAAGAAGAAAATAGGTGGTATAGTGAATGCACTTACGAATTGAATGATAAGATGGTTGAGCAGTGATAGAGGTTGACTCCAAGGACACTTTTCCAGCGATAGAGGACAATGTAGTGGAAGAGCTATTAACGAGATCAGTTCCTTTACAAGATGCAACATATTCTTTCTGGTCGCAAAATCCTGTTTCAAGATTTAAAACTAATGCATCCTGGCATACGAATCCGGTTAGATGATCAGCTGAAAAAACCATGAAAATCATAGAAATTACGAAAATATAATAACTTATTAACCGACTTATTTATTACAAAAAGCTAACCAGAACAAACGAAAAAGAGCGGTGAGCATTGAGAAGCATACAATCCATTACGGACATTTATGCAATCAAAACTAGAAACATCATATGAAACATTAGTCAAATTTACCAATGTATGGGGTAAATCATCTGAAACACAGTTTTATTAAACACTCAAAAGGTTTTGAACTATTTTTAAATATGATTAATCTCTGTAACCATTTTAAATTGAATTTTCTAAATCTTGAAATTGAGAAAACAAATACGAAATTGGGAGGAAACAAACTCAAATCTTGATCAGTCCTACTTTGAGGTAGGAATATAAAGTCTTTTATCCTTTCTTTAACTGCTGACTGATCCTCTTTTATCCTATTTCAAACTAATGACATTTTAAAAGCAAATTTTACCAAATCCTGCTAATGACGAAGAGGAACTGAATCTGTTAGTCACTGAAAACATTTTTTGTCTATTACCCTGTTCATCACATTCTGAAGCATCTTCTATCCTGCTACATGAACTCGTTATCTGCAAACTCATTTAACTTCCATTTCCGTTCAGTCCAACTTAAAGTAAAATATCCTAGTAGCAAACAGAAACAGAAAAGGAAAAAATCGGAAAATTTAATAATCTTTGCCTGATCGAAAACGAGACCGCCATCGCAGTTGAATATGTATGCAATACCGCCAGCACATATCACAAACGATGGTGAACATACCAGGGATATGGTACTATTAATGGAGCAGGTAAAGTTTGGTAATGTAGAAGGTACTTCGTGATTGGCATTTGCTAAAGCTATTTTTATATCATCTATGTTTTCATGACTTGAATAATCTGAAGAATACGTGAGGTTAATATCATGCATGTTTAAATTTTATATGCCTTCTATTTAATTCCCTTATTTAAACTTTAATTTTGTTACGCTTTGAGGTTTTTTTTTTACACATTACACAAAAGGTATCACATGAAAGCATACATAGGTAAAAAAATGCAGGTTACAACTCGAAATAGCATAGTATCATTCGGTTTTGAACTAATTTCTTTTGAATTCAGTTCTATTTTCATGCTGTCGATAAAAGCGCTTATTAAAATACCGCAACTTTTCAAATTAATAAAGAACCTTTTACATCCAGCAAAGATTGTTCATAAATTGCTTTTTTTTCACTATTGCAAATTGCTACACGTTCTCTATAATCGCATTGATGTTTGCTTCCATCATAATATAGTCCATTTGCGCAACTCCTCAATATTGCTTTGTTGGATAAACAGGAAAGAAAATACTGACTACAACCCGGAAGAGAATATGCACCATCCGGCAATAAAGCACATGGAGTTCCTATAATATACCAAAAATATTTTGGCAAAAACAAACTTATCCACAATGTTCAACTTCTTTTGTCCGCAAAATAAATAAATATTTATATTAAAATTTATTTATGAGATGTCTATGTGGTGTATTGTTTTTGCGATGGAACAATCAAAAAATACCAACAACAACAAAATACAAATTCTAGACCCTTAAAGCTAAGATATCTCCATAATAGAAGTTCTAAATGGTAATTTTCTAATCTCGTTACAATCAGTGATAAGCATCGAACCATCTAAATGTTACTTTCATTATCATTGCTCTGGCCATGTAGTGCTCTTAATATACAGTCTGCTGCAGGTAAACATTCTTTTAATCCACTATCAAATAACTTTCCATCATTGCAGTCCGCTACATAAACCGAATTTTCCTGCAAATTTATTAGGAAAAGATAGAAATGAAAATTTTCCAAAATTGCGAAAAGCATAGAAGTAAAAAAGTCTAGCATGTTCAAAGCTCAGAAATATATTTCAGCATGTTACCTTTACATTACAAAAGATATAACTCGGACGACAAACACCTAGCGTAAGATTGGTCGAATATGTTTTAGAAGGACAGAGATCAGGTTCGTTCTCGAAATAATCATTCTACAATATATAAAATATAAATTTACTCACGATTCACGAACAAAAGATAAAGTATCGCAAGGTTACAGCAAAACAAAAAATTATTACACCTCCAATTCCATATCCGAATCGGTCTCTAATTTTCTCTCTAATCCTGTCCCAAATTCCATAAATTCTGTCTCAAATGATGCATCTCGTTTCACGCGCCCACCATCAGTTACCGCAGATGCATTGTCCCCTTCACCGCTACCTGACACAAAATTATTGGTCACAGATTTTGCTCTTAAAACACACCACTATCATAGTCCTAATCATTATTTTCAACCTTCTACACTATCTACTGCTCCATTTCTATTGGTTGTTCCATGATTCGATGATGAAGTTGATGGTGAATTATACCTGAAAAACACTTTTAAGGATGAAAACTTTATATTCTTAAAAACTTCATATTTTTAGCAGTGGCTGCATAACAAAGTAAAAATTACTCACGAAGGTGAAGGTCGTGAAGCCACAAAAGAATACGTCGGAAAATTACTGGGCAGTTGAAACTGATCAATAATTCCTAGATTTTGTATGTTCTGCAAAATCTCATTCTATTTCTGTCACAGATTCAAAGAAAAGCGTTCACATTCATATAATGAAAATTAAGGCAGTTATTTAACGATTCATTTTACCGGAATGCTTCCGAGTGGGAATGGAACAACGCGAAAAGTGTCCTTAACATTTCTCATCTGACGAGGTAAATTTCTAAAAACATGTGAACTGTGCTGTTCTTGGGCCATTTGCGGAATAAATACATTGCTTGATGGAGCTCGCAATATACCAGATAACATGTTTGGATCTATACAATAAAGTATATTGTACTAAAAACTTCCTATATTTCTCGATTATTTAAGAATCGAAGAATATAAAACTGCAAACAATAAACACAAAAATGTAAAAAAAAAGTTTTGTAAAGTTTCCTAAGACATTACTTTGATAAGGTGCAATTTTGGCAGATTGTGCATACGGTGACCTCAATTTCAATCTATATGGATTTCTGTTTTGTCGATTTAGTGTTAGATATGGATTAAATTGCAGTGGTTGTCTAAATGAATCGTGCACACGCTGAAATATAACTTTAATATGGAATTGAAAGAGAGGAAGATAAAAAGAAAGGAAAGCAAAATAACAAGCATTTATAGCCTACATGTAGCGCAGGAGCAGAAATAATTCCGAGTTGTTTCATAGGATTCCCAACGCATTCCGCAATTTCATACCGAAATCGGCAAATACGTGATGCTGAGTCGAAAAGTTTATCCTGAAAAATAATCGGGACTCTTTTTTTTTTTTAAAATCATACACTTGTATATATAAAGAGAATTAGAAATGCCACAAAAGCACTTACCTCCATGCAATATCCCACTTCGAAAGTTCGCTTTGCATTGCATTTCAAGTACGTATTCTTACAAGGTCCAAGAGAACTAATTTCGCCAGGACTACATCCTGGTTTATTACATTTTGAATTACAAACTCCATGAATAGCATCAAATGTATAACCAGGTGGACATTTATAAAGAACGAACTTGCCATTTGAACAAGCATAATAGTAATCATTGCAAATGCCGATTTCGAAACGTTCATTTTCAACGCATCGAACCTGCAGTATAGATTATTTTAGCTTCTCAAATTACAACAATGAAAATTTATCAAGAATACCTTGCCAATATCAAGAGTAGTGGATAACATTGGACAACGATCTAATGGTATGCAACGACTAGAACGTTGATCAAAAAGTCGTCCCGTCTGGCATCTCATCAAAATCGGTATTTTGTGGAGGCATTTGACGAATATCGGAGAACACTGTCTTCCATAATTTCCATCATCTCTATTTACGCACGAAAGATCACCTAAATAGATCGGATAATTGAAAAATAATAAAATGGAAATATTAACTTTATAATAAACAATTCAAACACTCTTTATAACAAATTGGAAACTAACCAACTGACGAAGACGAAAAGGATGGTTTAATTGACTCAACTTTTCCTAGATAAACTACCCCAATAAATCCTGTTCCACAAGGATTGGTATCTATGCATTTCCAACTTTCATCACATTTTCCAAGTGCAGGAATAAAGAACTGTCCCTGTGGACATCCATAAATTCTTTTCCAACCAGCGCTACAAATAGCAACTTTATCTGAACAATCCAATGCATATAAGCCATCGTCCAAGTTATCACATCTTACTGAATCTGTAAAATTTGTTCATATCTAAAATTGCATTTGCGTATAAGCATTCGAAGAAAAAATTTTAAATTTATCACGACAAACCTATTCGGCTTCCGGATACTTCTGGCACACATAAGAGATCCCCATTCTCTTCTTGAAACTGCGACTCTACTACTGTTTCTGGTTGTTTCTCGACTAAAAACATTTGCGACATGAAAACAAAAATAAATTCTCTGTGACAATTGCTTCCGATTATCAGTCACGAAATATTTTCTTGCAATGAAAGCAACTCAGCATGGCCCTATTTATTATTTATCGATGGTGCGTATTTCAATTGGTCTTAGGAACCACAAAGAATACCTCTTTTGATTTGTGTTATCAATTTATTTTATGGGAGAAAAACCAGAAATGCCTAACTTACTTGGCATCTGATCCATCTGTCCATTAGTAGCAAGTTCATTGGTACACTGTACTCGAGCATATTCACAATAGTTTACATCTGCACCAGAAACTAAATTTCAAAAAGTCAAATAAGTAAAAATATTTTGTCAGTGTAGCGCATATAATATGAACAGTGCTAGCAGCAAAATCGAACTTACCAGAGATTTCCTTAAAAATTTCCTGTAATATCACCAAGCAATTTTTAGATAATGAGATCAAATTTCATAAGAGAAATTGCAAAAAGTGAACTTAACTGGCATTTCAGTAGATGCAATTAGGCATTGTATTGGAACATTTTTACAACGTCCTAAACTGCATCAAAAAATCAACTTTACAGAATAATCAAATATATAAAATATCCCCTGAGTCTAGTCCATCTTAAATTTCTTTATTCGTCAATTAATTTACATCAAAGCAGGATGACATCCCTAATGGCCTAATTTTTTCGCTTATTTGATCACTCAGGATATTCTAGGATCTGAATTGAAACTTCTAGTAGTGATTAATGACAGACGTACAATGCATGGTACACTGTTTGGTTTAGTAAAAACTTGGTCACCACGGTAGCTTCGTAAAAATGTTATGGCAACGATTCAGATTGATAAGTACATCATAAGCATAGCTAATTCATCTTACAAGATTTAACAATCTATCTTATTGAAGTTTTTTTGCTTCTAATCTTTGACATTGGAAAAACATGGAATACTAACCTAAAGTATTAGCTTCCGGCACCGATAATTCAGGATCAGAAACTGATGGTGTGTTCATAGCGCTTCCGTCTTTCTCCAATTCTGTTAAAAACTTGATTTCTTTAACGAAAATTCTCAAAACTATATGCTGTAAAATTGACAGAAATACTGACCTTTATGAGTGCCTACTCTATGCGATGGATGAAACGAAGCTAATACTCGATACATCAAAAATGCGCACTTTTCGTAAGACACGCATCCACGTAAAATATTCGAAAATACCATTGAATTCGGACATTTCTTATGGATTTCAGAACCACCAATGCATGTTATGAAGTCCGGTACACAACCTGCCGAATAGTCACCATCCGCCATTTCATAACATCGTGGCAGTGCTACAAGGAAAAAAAAAATTTCATTGATGAATTAATTGCATAAAAAAAAAAAAAAAAAAAAAGTTGAAATAACCAATAATATAGTGATCATCTGAATCCAGTAATATAGCGATCATCTGAAAGAATATGTTAAAGTCCTATTATCCTTACCTGTTTCAGTTAATATCTTAATTCTACTATCATCATTTCCTGCATTTTCGTGTTTCTCATTCGATGATGTTATTATTCGATTGCAAGTCGCTTTTGGAACACAAGCAGCAACATTTCCATCAAATAGCATGTTATCTGGACAGTGTTTTATTATTCCTTTCTAAAAAAATCTTAATAATTTCCTTGTATATTTAGAATGAATACATACCCCATGAATCATGGAAAATATGAATTTCCTGAAATATTTTGAAATGAAAGAGAAAAGTCAACCTGATTGTAACATTGCAAATAACTTTGCAAACAAAAATCCAGTGGATAAATGTTATCCTTTCGCCCCAGACAGAGAGGTGTAATCGTGGAAGATATCAGTCGTTCCTCTATATCTTGTTCATCCGATGAGATGTTTTTAGGTATTACAGAACTATTTCGACATTCTGCGACATTTTTTGGTTCTTCACACCGATTAGTTGATTCATCATACACGAGCTTTTCAGGACATGACATTAACACTTTTCTCATATGCTAAAATCACTAATTCAAACAAATTTAAATTTAAATTGAATTGAAATGAATGCTTTGATGGCTAAATGAAGCACTTACAACACATGAAAAAAAAATCGTTGAACATAATCCGGCTGCATAATTCGCATCAGGACGACCGTCGCAAAATTTATCATTGTCTTTCACTATCATACCAAATGAATTATTCATTGGTTCCCGTGGTAATAGAGATACTAATGACTCAGTTTGAATACAAGACTGAACTTCAGCGGAATTTCCACATCGACGAAATTTACTGTCGTAAACCATCCCATAAGGACATGCGAAGAGATAGATCTTTCCTTTTGCGCAGATGTAAAAATTTTGCGAACAGTTGTATGAAAATATTCCATCTTGTCGAGCAACACAATAGATATCTGTAGTTAAAAACAGCTTAGCTTTCATGTTAACCAATAGTAGTTAATTTGTTAAGGTAATATAACTTGAAACTTCAAAGAAATTATTTTTACACGATTCTTAATAAAAACCGGGAAATTCGATTCAAAACTCAATTCATTCATAAATTTAATTCATAAAATACTCAGTTCCTGTAAAACTTTACCCAATTTATTTCTAGTCGAGTGATTAACTATTCCGCATGCCACAACATCAGATCTCAAAGCACATCGTGAGTTGTCTGGATTAAAAACCATTGGATCAGGACAACTGGCCAAACTAATAACACCATCTCGACATAAAATATAATCCGCTAAGCAAAGACCAAATTGATAAGGGCCATTTGGAAGAGTAGTACAACTTGGCATCAGTGGCGCAATTGTGCCAAATAATGATGGGTGCATTTTTTCACTTGAAGTATCTCTGCAACATCAATTAACCATGATAACAGTGAGATATAAGCAATACAGCAAAACTTTTTGAACACAAACCTGCAAGCTTCGACAATACTTCGCTCATCGCAAGTACCACTGCGATAATTGAAAGTGAGATTCCATGGACAATTCATATAAAATGTTTTGCCATTTGCGCAGATATAATAGATTCTATTACAACCTTCCACATAAAAACCATCGCTTAGCTTTTCACATTTCGATGTACTACCTTAGAAAAAATTAGTTCTGATAGTGAACACTATGAATTGCAACTGACAGTATGAGATAGCCAATAAGAAAAGTGTAACAAATTCTTTTTATGTAATTTGGGGTATAATGAAGGATTAACGTACCTTCTACAGGTTTAATTGTAATCCCATAGATCGGTTTTTTAATCTTATTTGATGTCTTGTTGTATTGTAGACACCCTGCAACATTCTCCCTGAAAAAAAAAAAAGGATTCAAGAAATACAGATGAATGTGTATAGAAACAGCAGTTTGTATGATATGCTAACCTGAAATCACATCTATTCAAGGAAGGATTAAACACCAAATCAAATGCACATCTTGCAAAGGATGTTGCACCACGCCAGCAACGATAATATCCAGAACCACAAGGTGATAAACCGTAAATGCCATCTTCCAAAATTGAGCATCCAGAAATTAAGTTAGAAGCAGTTCTTTCTCTTCAAAGAAAAAAATAAATAAATAACATTCAGTCATTTCTGTTATTGAAAATCTGAAAATCTAAAGAAATAACCGCTTACTCATCAATATCAACTTCATCATTTATCATCAGTCCTTGTCCACCACATGCAACAACATTCATTGGATAATCGCAAAAACCACTATCAACATTGAAAACTAAATCAGTTGGACATTTATGACCAGTTGAAATACCATTTGAGCACGAATAGAATTTCTTTGTACATCCTATTGCATATAGACCATCTTTTTGTCCCTTACAACGACAATCTGCAAGTAAACGTTGAGTCAAATTATCTCATGTTAAATTGGATTTTTTCTTTTTGAAAACATATTCAGATTTGAAAAGCTGCTTACTTTCGGACGATCAAACCATCTGTGATTACCTGGTTCTTTATGTGACAAAGCTGATTTGTCTCGTCTTTGTTTGTTTTTTCTGTATCTCAAGCACTTTTCAACTTTAGACTTGTATTCACAATGCCCGGTTTGCCCATTGTATACAAAATTTGGTTCACATGAAGCAATGCTTCCCTCTCCTGAATATATTAATTGTAGCAGAACGGTATAAATTGTTTGCACTAGATTAGACTAAAAACCGAAGAATGATAGCACACTAACCATTAAAACAAATTAAAAAATTCCGTTCACAATCACCTAGTTCATAGACACCATCGGAAAGCGAAGAACACTGATCAGAATATCTGAAACAACAAGCAAAGAATTTTTAATTTATCCTAGTTTTCCAAGATACTCTGGTTGATCTATCAATAAAAGAAGTAAATTTTACTCAGCAATGACGGTTGTATCCGAATTCTCAAAATCAGCACATGAAGGTAACTTTCCAATATCCATGCACTGCTGATGTTCAGAAGAAAACAACTGTCCATCGCTGCAAACAACAACAAGACCTCTTCCATCGATGCAAAATAAGTATTTTCCATAACATTTTGCGATGGCGTACATACCATTTTCCCACTTTTGACAAACATTTTGCTTCCGATAAGGCACCATCGTTTTATGGATGCTTCCTGAATATCATTCCCGGAATTTAAGTTTTTTGGAAAATTTCTCATCTAAATAACATTGACAAAGAATTATTTTCCACAAAATTTTTATTTATAATACCAATTCCTGTTTTCTAAATTACCCAGCAGCTCATGATACCTGTACCTATGTGTGCTAATTCTGGTTCATGTTCTTTTTTAATTTGTGGACACTTTTTAACGTTGGATGCATAGTCACAGTGTCCTGTTTGCGCATTATACACAAGACCTCGTCCACAGGAAGCATTGCTTCTCACTCCTGAATAAACAACTACAGAGTAAAATATCACAAAGCTATTAACTGAGTGCAAAGAAGTAATTCATCGAACTCAATGAAGACTGAATTACATTAACCAGGTAAATATTGAAGTTAACAAGAGTCTTGAAGTCATGAAGACGAAGAAATCATATTTATCTAAGTAAAAGAAAAATGAACTATGACAAACCATTACGACAGATTGAAAAGCTTCTTTCACAATCTCCCAATTCATAGGTACCATCGGGAAGGGAAGAACACGAAACAGAATATCTAAAACAAAAAGTGAAAAATAAACTTCTAGCCGATGGCTAAATTTAAAATTTCTAATTGATAGATCACCTTGAAGCTGTGCTTGTCTCCAAATCTGCAAAATCTCGACAAAACGGCAAATTTCTGGCATCTATACATTGCTGATGTTCAGAAGAATACAACTGACCGCTGTGGCAGTTAACAATCAAACTCTTTCCTTCGACACAAAAAAGAAATTTTTCATAACATTTAGCAATAGCATATTTCCCATCTTTTCGTTCTTCACAAATGCCTTCTTTCCGCACAGATTCTAACAACTTGTGAGTTACTTCTGAAGAGTCAATTTGAGATTTTAAGGCTCCTTTTCAGTGAGAAAATGAAACAGTTCGAAAACTAAGTTTGACTCACTTCTGTTAAGCTTAAAACTTACGCTCCTTCCATTCCTCTCTTGACTTTCTAGAAAATTTTTCCTGAGAATTAACAAGCTTCATTTCATCCCGATCGATCCCTCCACATGCTGGTATCATTTCTTTAAGATCACACTATAAAGAACAAGATTTAGAATATCAAATTAGAATTAGTATAGTAAACAACTTACTCTTAGCTTATTGATATTAAAGTATAAATCCCTTGGACATTTGGAAAGAAATGCCGTCTCACTGTTACAAAACCAGAATACATTTGAACAACCATCAACGTAAATACCGTCATCCATCCCAGTACAGTCAAACTTTACTGTAAATATAACATTTTACATAAATTATCAAATTACCAATATTTAAACTAATTAGCTACTAAATACCTCAAGAATTCTGTATAGCTGAAAAAGCTTAGAAAAATTGAGAAAAAACTTACGCTGACAATAGACAATATTAATCTTTGGCTCACATTGATTTTTATCACCATTCCAATACAAACCGTTTGCACAGAAAATCTTTTTCGCCTTTCCATTACGACATAATAAGTGCCAGCGTTCACACGGTCCAGCCTAAAATTGATCTTATGATCATAGGAAGTATAAGATCCAATTTTTTACGAAAGAGAGAGAGAGACTGATGAATCTTCCGTTTTGCTTGATTTTTTGTTTTTTCTTCCTAAATAAACCTATGAAATTAAGTGAACTATCTAACCTCATATATACCGTCTTTTTGTCCCGAGCACTTCGATGGACCAAATTTCTGCCCTTTTTCAAACGGATACCGCTCTTTAGGTTTGCTTACTGCCAAAATATTCTTGCGTCCTTCTTCATATTGTCGTATTTGACGGTGCCAATGTTTGGGAGTCGACAATTTATGCGGTTGTACGATGCCGTCCGCTTCCTTACTCCGAATCGGTTCAAATAATAGCTGTCGTACATCCTCCACACTCAAAGTTTTACTCATATCATCCGATTTCAGACCTAATTTACTAACCTGATCAGATATATCATAAGGTGTGTTATTGGATGTCATCATTTTCGAAGCTCGATTTGTCGATAGCCTAAATTATCATGTGGAAGAAGTAAAGATCAGACAAAAGTGACAGTAAAAATATATTCTAAAAAAATATAAAAAAAAAAAAAAATATAAAATATATTCTATTTTAATGTTCAGTAAATTGAACCAACTCATTTCATCCTACTTCAAAAGCTCCTTCTTTTCTCTTCATTAGAAGAAAAATTCGTAAATTTTCTTTCTTGGCTATATTACTGTATCATTTAGTTATCATAGCCAAAAATGATTCTGTAAATAACCAACCGAACAACGTCAATTTCTCCTTCTTTCATACCTGATTGATCAATCAATCTTTTCCAATGTCCTCTATATTTCGCTCTCCACCCCTTCCTTACTTTACCGTATGATCCTAAATAATACATTATCTAATAAACTTTACCTGTCCTTCCTATCCAAGTTTTTTTTCGAGGCAAATTATGACAAATAATAAACATTAATATAACGAAATCTGAAACATAAATAGTGATATATTCTAAAAGGATTCCTCATATATCTTTGAGTAATAGTTTCCTAGAAAATTTATCAAAATTAGAAAAGTAGAATATTGCTGATAACATAAACAAGTATTACCATCAAAGTATGCTGGATTTTGTATTCTTTCCACTGTCGTACAAATCACGCAACAACATGTCAAAGCAATAAGCACTATCAACAGTGCGGGATGTTGCAAATTCATTTCACGTTACCAGTCACCTCTGAAATAAGTTGAAATTGCACCTGTTGATGCTATCCTGTCCAAACCTTCTTCATCCTACCACTACTTCTACTGCCAGATTGACTCGATGACCCATCATCCGCTGTAGTAAGGAAACTTTGCCATCGATAAATGAAGCTTCATCCTATCCTACAGGTATATATACACATTACCTTTGTATAGAAGTAGATAGAAAGTTAGTTGCCTGGAAGATGGGTGTATTCTGCAACACTAAATGCATTAATCCCATGTCCAAATGATATGCAAATATGACAAACTTTCTGCAAATACATCTTTACACGCAGACAGAACAGTGACAGTTCCTGTGTACTGCATTCATGCATTCAAAAGGTATCACAATTGGTAGCAGTAATATAAATGACAGTAACATATTTATTACTTAAGGCATATTTACTTTTTATTTCAGTAATTTTGAATTGACAATTCTTCTGCACTGTATGCTGAGTGTTAATCAAAAAAAAAAAAGAAAAAAATTTTCTTTTTTTAATATTGAATTTTAAAAATTTTAATTTTGTTAAATTATGAACGTTCATATGTTACTCTGCTTGCTATGTTTCAGATATTTAATGAAAAAACTAAAACATATTAAATATATTTGATAAGCCAATAAGAAAAATATAACTAATCTAAACAATCATTCTCAAAAAAAAAAAAAGAAAAAAAAAAACAAAAATTAAAGACTAAACAATGGATATAACAAACTAAATGTTGAAAAGAAAATTGAGCACATAAAAAAGCGGTTTTTTTGAACTAAAAAAGAATCATTTTAATTAAGAAAATTTCGTAATTGGATTATGAAAATATTTGAATAAAATGAAGAAAAATAAAGACAGCAAAAAAAAAAAAAAAAAAAAAAAACAAAAAGCCAAACAAACTAAAAAAACTGACGCTCTAAGTTTTCTTTAAAGTGTAGCTTTAGCGTGATGTCATAAAAAAAGCGTAAGTGATTTGGTTTTTAATTATTTCAAGTGTGAATGAAGTATATAGCATTTTTTTCTGTTGAAGTTTTGTTTGAACTATTTACTGTTTAAAAATTTTTGTTAACAGCTATTGATTGTAGTATGAAAAAGATAAGTTTTCCTTTTTATCATTCACTGATTCTGTTTGAAAATTTTATGCTAGTCTATCCACTAATTAAATAAATATCACATTTTATAATAGTAACTTGTAACCAACGATTGCACTCTAAGTCTGAATAAACTTTCTGCACTAAGGTATTCCAATTTAGTACCTTTGCAGATTTATTCTTTCAAACTGAAGCTTTGATTTCTTTTTATTCACTAATCGTTTCTTGTAATCGGTTGTAATCATTTTCGGTATTCATTTCGAATTATCTTAAAGTCTTTTTCAATCGTCTCGCATTTAAATCAAGTATCCCTTATAGATTTTGAAATGTGTGACATCATTTTCTTGGAATGAGATTTGCAATTTGAAATACAAATTGTGGACCAACTTGTAGGTACCAATCCACAAGATCACAAATTAAATTGCTGTTACTATTGAATATCGGGTAACATTCTTCGTTAACTATAATTTCGTATAATGAAGAACACGGTCGGTCATTTCACTAGTGTTTCCTAGCAAATTCTGGATTCAAAACCATTTCAATTTTTCGCTTTATCGATTAAAATATTTGTAAACATTCACAAATGACCTCATATCTGTTAGATCTCATATCTGTTTATCTTTCATCGTCAAAAATAGCGTTCGCTAGAGGACATCCATTTCGAATTCGGTGACGTTGAGTTCCAGTGTGCACTACTGTTGTCAAGTTCTCACTAAATCGATGCAATGAAAGTTAATGATATATTTAAAATGAAATTTTACTACTTGCACTTTCTATTTCTTTGCTCACTTTGTCATTGTGATAGGTTTAATTTCCGATACTAATTTTGATTATAATGAAAGTTTTTGTCAACAAACTCACATCTTTGAACTGGTTGTGTCATCAATTTTAGTTAATTTACAAATATTTGAATAACTATGAATCCATTAAATCTTAGCATTCTTCGCTACTTACGTTACACCAACCGGTCAAGGAATACTGCCCGTTTTTAACACTGAACCACATTAAGTAGTTCGTTTTCAATTATGCGCTAAATTGCTGTGAGAAGTGCCACACCCCATTACGACGTTAAAATAGTGAGAGAACCACAATGAGTTAAATGAAACTTCGAAATGTGCTATGCGATCCTTCCAGTAATTCGTAAAGGGGATATAATGGAAGAGATTAGCAACAGCCCATAATACCTAAGATTAGCTATAAAATGTTCGAGAAATAAAATAGAGAGAAACCAAACCGGCTACTTCGCAACAGAAATTACTGAGAGATTAATACCAAATTTAGAAATGAGTTCACAAAATTTCACCGAAGGAAAAAACTGCTGGATAGAGAAATTGTAACATTATTTATCATAAACAATATTTTAGTAGCACTTACAATTTCAGGTATGCTTAAAAAGAAATGTTTAGATTTACAAAAAAGGGAAACCCATGAAACAAATAAAGGGTAACTACTGATGATTTTGTGCATCCCCTGCATTCGTTGCATCCGCTGCGTTCGTTGCATCCGCTCGTGCTAATCCGTTCGCCTCCGCTTCGCCGTTAAATGCGTACAACTCATGCAGGAATTCTTCAATTTCTTCATCCGAATCACTACCATCCGACTGATTTTGCTGCATCTAAAATTAAGTTTTCGGAATAAATCTCAATTTTCCATGCAAATTCTGATTTCTAGCACTTAAATTTTTTTTTAAAATGACTTACGTTTTCCGGTGTTTCTTGGTTATTCGGTACATCCATTCTGGCGCGTTGCTCAAACTCCGATATCTTTTCTTCAAGCTCTTCGTTTTTCACATCAATTTCAACAATGTGTTGCTGAATAGTTTCAAGCAAGGACGGTATTGAGTTAAAACCGAAGTTTTCGAATGCCATCTTAAACTGAAGAAGCCATCACGTCTTTCTTTCATAATTCTTCCAAATTAATTCCAAGAAGAAATTTGTTACTTTCTTAAGTTACAAATACCACTAATACTTCTTCAGAAAATAAATCAAACAACGATGTTATCCTCTAGAATTGTCCAGCAAAGCAGTTGCTAAGGAATGTGTTGTCAAATTTGATAAGTTCGGAAAAGAATGAGTGGAACTTAGTCTAAGTTGGATTTAGGCGGCGATACATAAAGGACTACTCAATCACATGAAAAGATGAAAATTTGATGTAAAGCGATATAAACCACAGAAAAGCTCTCTTAGACTTCAACCATTTCTACCCAGATCTAATGAACAACCAGATGGCGGGCAAATTTTGAACTCTCTATTCTCAATAAATCCCACTTCATCTCCCCTTTTCACTTCCTCAATAAATACTTTTATTTACACGCAAACCATTTACTTGACAACTCGAAACCCACGTGAGATGAAACAAAAGAAAGACAATTTGAAAAGACACCCACCTCACTCACCGAGAAAATAATGAAGTGAATGACTACTGGAGCTTGTTATATACTATTCTAAGAAGACGGAACATATGCAAATTTTCATTGAGTAATCTGTTTTGTTTCCTAATTTGATTGTTACCCGAATACTTGCCCACCCCCTTTGTGGCTTTTCCTGCCCAAAAGATTTTCTTGTATTTACCGGGATGAAATGACCTGTCGGAGTGTGTGCACGTATTTTAGCATTAATATTGGCAGAATGATTCGTTTGCTCGCTAATTTCTTCACATGAGTTCTCAAATGAGACTTTTTTAATTGATCATTAATATGAAATTAAATAGATGGCACATATAAAGAAGAAAAGTAATTTGCTGAGGTAAGAAAGAAGTCTTGAAAAAGTCAAAATTTGCATATGTTCCAGAAGTTTCTCCCTGACTATTTCCGCAGCTTCATGGAGTACTGTATAAAAAGGCTCTCACAGTTGTTCTTTTCATCTCAGTTATTTTTGCTGCGCTCGAACTCTCTCTCCAAGGCGCTTTTCGTTTCGTACCGCGTGGTCTCAGGGTGTTTAGGGGTTATAGAGCTTCAAGATGTTACAAGAAATAGTCGGACGCTTATGCTACACACACACACACACATACATTTACCCACGTACATGCCATGCCCAAACTGAACACATGCACACACACACACATACACTTACCCACGTATATGCCCACACACACACACACACACATCTCATTCATTTTGAAACTTCTAGACAATATAGAGATAATATTCCATTTGATTCACTTCCTAAGCATTAATTATTGGCGGCATTTGTAACCGGAAAAAGTAGCCAGCTTATGGGATCAAATTGTGAGAGTTATAAGAAGTAATTTAATGATATTTATTTAGAATGGCATCTGAAAACAATACGGGGAGCAATCGCGACGATCAGAATGCTACACAAATTCAACCAATGAAGAAATGGAAATCCGTTTCCGACATTTATGAACCAAGAAGACTCACAGTAACTCTCAGTGAAGGTTAATTTACAATTATGTTTTCTTTACCTTCAACTGAAGTGTGATAACTTTTCTCATTTTACCCATAATTGTTCTTAAGTACTGCTTCATTTGCTGAAAAATTTAGGCACACTATCGCTTCCGCATCACCTTGTTTGCAACGAAACTATCGGAGTTTTGGAGGAGAACGAAAAACTTAAGGCAGAATTATTTAACTTGAAGATACAACTGCTGTTGGTTAGAAAAAAATACCCATTAATGCTGGACGGAAACGGAAAAAATATGAACAAAAAAGTAATTCATACTGATTTGCTACCCATTCCTGATTATTTGCTGTTTTGAAGGAAGAGGAAGACGGAAAAGCAGGCTTATTAAAGTTGTCTTGAAAGCTGTTGATACTACTTTTTTAAAAAAAAACGTTACTTTTTTTCAAGTGCATTTAATATTGAAGCATTTTGTAAAGAAGAAAAAAACCTGTCCATAATTTTCTCTTTGATATTTCAGTATATAGATGCAATGATCGAACTGAACAATGCGAGAAATGAACGAATCAGACTGGAAAAAATGTGTTACGCACATGAGAAAAAGCTCAATGAACAAAGACGGAAAATGCGACGTGAACGAATCATTCACAAGAAGGAACGCAGAAATCTACTTAAGCAAAAGGGAATACTTAAATCGAAACTGAAAAATACCCTCCAGAAGTTGCTTGAATTAGATGACAAATATGATAAGCACATGTCGCCGATACCGAACAAGGACACGTAGGTTCAAAAACTAAAGTAGCCTTATCATTTATTGCTATTTGCTAAGGTCCATTTGAACTTTTTTTCTTACATCAAAAAGCTGTAGTTGGCGTTCACTAATTATTCCAAATATTACAGAAAAACCGAAGAATTGAAATTGCGATTGTCGCTTACTAATCTTATTTTGGAGGAGGGGAATCTAACACCCTGTGAGATAACTGAACAAACTGGGAAAGACGAAGATGAGCAAGAAGAAGGATCATAAAGAATCAGGTTTAATTTCTTTTATCAGTGCGATATCATTGTCCTGAAATGCGCAAAATTTAATTAAATATAAAGTAAATTACAGAAGAGTATTTGAATTGATTTTAAAATGAGCCAAATGCTATCATAAAGATTTTATATACAGAGTAAGATATTGAAATTGTCATTAGACGGGATGTTACAATTTCTCTTACCATAGTACTTTCACAATTTTCCGCATTTAAAGAACAGAGAAGTATTTATGAAATGAACAATGATATTTTCAAATTCATAATGCTGTGTTCTTCCTTGCTTAATAAAATTATATAAATGATATTGTCAAAGTGATGAAGACTGCATCGTTTATTTCTGATCAAATATGTTGCTGTCGTATGATTGCTACTTTTGCTATTGTCACTTCTACCATCGGAAATGATCGAAATTCTGCTTGAAGTATTGCTTCATCACAGCAAATATCACCGCTGACAATGTTTGCGGTATAGGAAACAATGAAGTGAGCGGAATCTTCGTGGATCATCTTCCACAATGTATTCTTCCGGTACGCGGACAACATTCTTCACTATTCTCGGTCGTCCACCGGCACTGAAGCTAATCTGAAAGAGTTTCTCATGCTGCTACAACGCAATCTGGAACGTTATCATTCGGACATCTACACATATGTCCTCTGCTGACATTCGCCGTGGAAGATGAGCTTGCACGGCTCCAATATGGCCTGAAAGGAAAAATTTGACTCGGGCAGATGGAACTCATTAGCCTTGCAAAGCCATAATAAGTCTACCAGATACAAGAAACAAGTCTATAACATGAATATTTCGCTACCTTTAAGCTTGCTAGTTCTAGAAAACCACAAGTTGTCAGATGGACAAACAAAAGGACGAACGTTAGGCCTAGTCTAAAAAAGTCTTTGCAAACACCCGAAGGTTATACCCTGTTTCATAAAGATGAGAGAAAAAACTAGGTGAAACTCGCATTCGAAGCTACATGACAGTTTTGTTCAGGAAAATCCTGCATGACTAAGCAGCTTTCTTCAAAAACAGCATTGTTTTCTCCGTATGGAGAGGAGCCTAGAGAAGATAGCCTAGCCAAGACTCATCTCCACGTTCTAGACTTAAACATACGACTAGCCAAACAACACTCATTTGTAGTCAGTGATGTATTTTTTAAGTATCATCGCATCTCAACGGCAGACATGAAATTCAGTCCATTATCTGACTTGAAAAAGGGAAGAACACTTAGCATGTAAGCCTACATCGACAGGTTCCTGAAATTTTCCCTTGACCACCACCACCTTCGAGAACTCATTATATAAGAAAGTTCCAGCAGTCATTTTCTCTAGTCGCGTCGTTCCACTATCCAACAGAAACATACACGCACACACGTAAGCAAGTATACGCATATACACGTGCACTTGTACACACGTATGTATATAAATTACTGAAAAATACGAGAAAAAAACCAAATATAAAAAAGTTTTTTGTACATATTCCAGAGAATGGTATGGAAATATCTTATTTTTCCTATTTATAAAATAGATTAACCACAAATGAAAGTAATAAATTCAAGTAAAAACAACAATTTCTGTAAATTAATACATTCCTTTCAACTTATGTTCCTGTCGATATTAAATGATAAATAAGAAAAGTAAAAACTAACATTTACATTTCACTTTCCTCTTCGTATGTTCTATCTGTTCCATTCTGATTCTTACATCACTTGGAATTTAATTTTACTGCTATTCATTGCATTCAGTAAACAGTTAATAAATTTTCTATGCTCTTTTTGATAAAAAAAGATAGGCCTATCACTTTTGATCAATGCTGATAGTCACATTCTCAGTTCAGATTTGCTTATCTTATTGATTCGTTGAATAAAATTTTGCAAAAGTTTACAGCAATATATCATTTGTGATAGAGCAGCTAAAGATGAACGTAATACTTCCACTGAAATCTGCTAAAAATCCGATTTTTTTTGTATCATTTAGTAGCATTATTTCGCAGACAAGAGCGCTTTTTATAATCGTAAGAATTAAATATGCTTTCGAGTAAACAACAACAAAACTTTATCAGAAAAAAGAACAAACGAGTTCGAAAAAAATTGACTCCTGGTCGTATAGCGAGCAGTTTTTTGCGTAAACAATAATGACACCGATAAAAAAAACACCAAAAAAACAAAAAAAAAAATGTTTTTTTCACAATTTTTTAATGATATAATAAATAAAAGGCACAAAATACTTCATAAACAATAAACATACTAATAAAGAACACCAACAAAACAAAAAAAAAAAATGTTTTTTTCACAATTTTTTAATGATATAATAAATAAAAGGCACAAAATACTTCATAAACAATAAACATACTAATAAAGAACACCAAAAAAACAAAAAAAAAATGTTTTTTTCACAATTTTTTAATGATATAATAAATAAAAGGCACAAAATACTTCATAAACAATAAACATACTAATAAAGAACACCAACAAAACAAAAAAAAAAAATGTTTTTTTCACAATTTTTTAATGATATAATAAATAAAAGGCACAAAATACTTCATAAACAATAAACATACTAATAAAGAACACCAAAAAAACAAAAAAAAAATGTTTTTTTCACAATTTTTTAATGATATAATAAATAAAAGGCACAAAATACTTCATAAACAATAAACATACTAATAAAGAACACCAACAAAACAAAAAAAAAAAAAGAAAGACTGTTTACAACTTTTTCTTTTATAATAAAATAAATAAAAGAAGTTAGAAATGAACAATAAACATAAAACACTGCTAGAGAAAAATATTTTTCATATAGAAAAACGAATAAACGTTCCACATAGCTAATGCAATTACCTTTCATTTTCCTCACTCTATAAATGTTCAATTGTTTCATGTTTAGCTCAAAATCTTCATATTTACTCATCCTATCGTTTCGTTTTTACTTAAAAAAGTTCCAATTTCGAAATTTTCATTTTATTTTAAGTTTTTTCCAGCTTAAAAATTTTCCACTACAAAAATTTCCAATTTAATTATTACCCATTTCAATTTTAATTTCAAATCCTTTCTACAATTAACTGCTATTCCACAACTCAATTCTAATTCAACAGCTTATAAACACAATAATTTCATAATGGAATCAATATTAAAAAGTCACTTTTAACTGTAACATAAACTTTGAACTACTCGGTTGATCTTTTCAGGAGCAATTTTCTTCTGTATTTCTCTATTTGGTGTAATAATTCGGCAAAAAATTTGTCTTCCACGGCGATGACTTCTTGGATGCACGTGGAATCTGTGGCACCACTCCGTGTTGCACAAATATCGGTGGCAGTGTCTGATGCGGCAGTATCGGTTGCACTGGCACTGGCTGCATTGGTATTGCTTGCTGTGGAATTACTTCTGCCTTTGGTTGCAGTATCTGCGATTGCAGCACTTGTTGCGGTAGCATTTGCTGTTGCTGCTGCTGTTGTTGGACTTGTGTCAACGATACCTGTGACTGCTGGAATAGGTTCTGCGTAGGAACTTGCTGCGAGAATTCTTGCGTTGAAGATGCTTCTGGCGAGAAAACATTTGATGGAGATAGCTCTGGTGATACATTCAAGAACGAAAGATTTTTCAGGTTATATTGCAGATCGTTTACTTCCAAATCGTTTGACTACAAATGTTGATAGTTACAAAAAATAGTGTGAGATAAATTCAATGCTATTACATTTCAGTTCTAAATATTTTAAGATAAACAAATATTAGCCCCGAAAGAAAAAAGAAAAACGGCTACAAAGCACACTCGTTGAACTGTTTGTAATGATTGGCTAACTCAGTGATTATGCACTCGATTGAGATTTCATTTTCAGATTTCATTTTGCATAGATATATGGTGAAGTTTGAAAGAATTATTTCTGATTTAGAAGAAGGAAAGATAGCAAAAGATGACTGAAGAGGTAAACGAATTGTAATATTTATTTATAGACATCTGCCTCTAAATTCACATAATTCTCTTCATTTCGTTTTCAAGCGGTAAAGTCATCAATTATGCTAAAACGAAATTGTTATACGGAAACTTACAACTTCCAATAATTGCTGTGCATTCGACTGATTAACATTTGGTTCTGCTGTTGGAGCTTGAAACATTGGCGAATCGAAAATGTAACTGCTTCTGAATACTGATTCAGTTGAATTGCCACTGTTTACGGTAAATGCTGGACGAGGTTTGGGTTTCCAAATTTCAAATTCTGCAATGAGAAAAATGTATGCTTAATTTTTATAGATGGACAACAGAAAAAGTCTTCCATTTCATTGCTTTAGGTGCATCTCAGGAATTCTGAATTTCTTGCTTCATTTCTGTTTCTTACTCTCTTATCCAACTTTTATATTGTTACATATCATTACCAGATGCATTATTGCTTGTTGGTACTGTATAGCACCAATTATTTTCAATACTGATGGGTTCATCGCATACCGGAAATCCGACGTTTTCATCATGCTAGAAAAAACGCAGGAAAGAATTTTCTAGAAAAATTAAGCATTCAATTCCCTAGTTTAATGCTTTGATGCGCTATTCACTTCTCCTCAAATATTGGTTTTAGAAGAAATGTATATTATTATATTCTCGAAATAGCTTCTACTGATTTAGTATTATCCTCAAGAACTGTATGATTTCATAGCATAGCATAGTTTACTGAGTCAGTTTTTGGCGCTGGAAGAAAAGTGGTAGTAAACTGATCGGAAGACGTGTTATTGCGATTTGGATTATTTGCAACATTCGACATCGAGTTGTCAGCAGGAACAAAATCTGGCTTGGATGGATCTGATGTAAAATATGTCACTGGAGATGGATTTCCGATAGTTTGACCTGATTTGACAAATGCTGTAGTTGGTGAATTTGTGAAGTCTGTCATTGAAGGCTAAAAAAAAAGGAAAAACAAATAAAAACAAAAATAAAACTTTTACTTTTTTATAAGGTTTAATAACAAACACGTCCGTACTTTCATCCTTACGTTATCTTTTTAGAACAAAAGTCTAATAAGAATACAAGTAAATCGCAGCACTGAAACATACCGGTGGATTATAGGTGTTAACTGGATGAGGAAAAGTTGCTAGGGTAAGTGGTATCATCACACTGTACTGATTACTCATAACAGATACATTAACTGGATTAACCATAGTAGATGAATTAACTGAAAATATCCCAATATCGTTTCAAAAAAGTTTTTAGAAACGAACATCAGGTTGTTGTACCATTTTATGATACACATGTTGAAAAAATTTATGCACATACAAAGCATAGTGCTCCAGGTTATGTAGAGTTTTCGATTATAAACTATATGTTTATTATCAGTTAGGCATAGAATTTCTAACTATAAAATATAAGACTTCCAGCAGACTATAAAATATACGACTTCCAGCTACCAAATATGGTGGTTTTCGGTACAAAAATATAAAAATTTCAATTATAAGGCATGTGATTTTTGATATGAAATATAGGCGTCTAATTAGAAAATGTAAAGCTTCCAGGCACAAAATATAAAGATTTCAGTCAGGAAATATAAGAGTTTAGTCATAAAGCGTTGAGCTTCCAGCTAGCTAAGTATTAAAGTATAATCCAGAAATATTCCAATTAGTTGATTTCATTTTTTAATCTTTATGCACTTCTCGATTCTCTCATATCCATGCCGTATGTTTAAACATCTAAAAAAAAAAAAAAAAAAAAAAAAAACAATCGATGTAATTATCTTTAATTAATACATAAGCTTGTAGTTTGTGAAAACATCACTACTACACTTGGTAATATCATTTAGTGTATACACCATTGTAAGAGTTTTGTTTAATAAGTAATAAAACAGTGATTGATTTTTGCAGTCGTTACACTTACCACTTACCATTGCTACCTTCCGCATTCATAGCAAACTGAAAATTCATCGAAAAATTCTCTGAAATTTCAAATAAGCATTCAATAGATGAACAGCAAAAAATTACTTCACTTCAAGGAATTAGAAATAAAATTTCATAATTTTAAAATTTGAAATTCAATTGAGTGAGATATTTTCCACAAGAATTCATACCACACACGATTGATCTTTTTCCAGTGAAATTTCTTCAATAATTTCTTCAGTAATATATTATAACAATCTACCAAGCAACGGAGTAACTGCAGGTCGATTCATTGCATTTGAACTGGCCACGGCGAGATATGCTGCAGCATGCTGAATTCGACGCATATCGTTATGAACTGACCGGAGATGATGCGTACCGAAACGCGTAGGAGCAAATGGCCGCAACGTAAACGGCTTAGAATTTTGCCCTTTATTTCGAAATAGAACTGGCGGAATCTATAGGTGTCATTTGTAATTTCAGGATGGTAGTGTGATAAAAAATTACGCCAACTATTTGCCATAAAAAATGCACCTGAGCTATGTTGACAAATCTCGCAGAAAAGAATTCGTACAGGTTAATACCAGCAGAATTAGTCAAATTGAGTGGTACGCAACGTTCTGGTCTAACATCCTTTTTTCCTGAAAACTTATCTGCAAATTCAATTCTTACAACCATGGAAATTTTTAGTAAATAGTCCTACTTTAGACAAAATTTGAATATCTTTTTGCGATAACATTTTAAATAAAACATGAACTAAACGAAAAATGTATTTCGTTTAATCCTATAATTTATGATTTTAATAAGAAAAAGATGACTAACTGGCAGAATAAAGAGTATAGACGAAGCAAATGTTATCATTTATCAGATAAGCTTACCAACTGCTAATGACTTCGTATAAGCAGTAAAAACGGTGTTTTGAATATTGCGTGAATCTCCATCGTAATACTTTGCAGCACCAATAGGAAATGGAACATATATTCTGTCTTCATTTACGTCGCCATACCAAATCATTATGGTTGATGAATAATCCGAAATGCGACACGTTACTTCACCAGGATTACAGTAAATGAATATAGTTGCTAAAGCAGTGAAAATCTATCTGACAAATGGATGTAATAAAATTTCTTGCATAAATTTTGAAAATTTTTAAAAAACCAAGCTTTGACACTAGCACGAACATGGTAAGCTCGAATAAAGGTCATTCATATCAATGCCAACACTTGTTGCAATGTTATAAAATATTTCATCTAGACGACCATTTGTTTTAATTGCCAAGATACGTTCAGTTTGAGCTACAATTAAGTATTTTGCATATATTTTGAAAAGAAAGGTATGAAAAAATATTTCAGATCAGTTTCAACATTCAATTCTTTCAATCATATTAAACTACGAATGATTTTTGCTAATTATACACAAAATCTACTGCTATGAGCTTAAATTATTCAATTCTGCTCATTTAAATCTCACTGAATAATATCGAAGTTATTCAGTTAATTCTCTTTTCCTTTAAATAGTCTTCTTAATAGTAATATCTATGATTAAAATAATAATTTTTATTGATAAATTCATTACCATATTTTGGTTCAAAAGGGCGCCAATTACAATAAAATCTTGCAAGTAAATGATTGGCGAAACTTTCCATGAATATATTGATCTAAAACAAAGATCAGTACTTGCATTTGTTATGACTTCAGAAAATACTTCCTTTTTGAAGAGTGAAATTTTTGTGAAATTATGAATACTGTGAATTTCATCGTTTATAGATACATATTTACCCGACGTTTCGGAATGCGTTGATACATAAAAACAGCCAAAAAGTTGACCAATTCTTTGACTTCCGTGTACATATTTATGCATGCGAAGTAATGAAATTGCAAGAAAGAACTGCAAAAAATTTTAGGAAAGAATTGTAGCAATCCTAAAATCGCGAAATGTTCCAACTTCAAGCACTTAATCAATCCATTTTAACTTCAGAAACTACAACACAGATAATAAACAGGAGCAACCGACCACGCACGACAAACGCAAAAGCAACCAATAAAAATCAATCAATACTTCTCGGACAAAAAGTTGCACTCAGAAATTTGCATAAAAGTTCCCAAGTTACAGATTGTCTCTAAACACTCCAAGTTACCTAAAAAACAAATGAAGGCTTACCTAAAAGTAATAACCCTAAAAAGAAAACTGTTGTACAGTCATGTGGAACACATTCACATCAAATTTTTAAAAAATCAACGCAATGCTCAGAAAATTGATTCTAAAACAGAGTTGCTTGAAACAATTTCATGTGAAAAATTACCTAGAAAAAAAAAAAAACAATCGAAAGTTTGCCCTAAACAATTGCTCAAAGTAAATTTAAGCGTAGAAATGTAGTTTAAAGTAGAGTTACTTACAAATAGTTACTTTAAATTAACTTATGTGAAAAAGTTACTAAATAAGTGACAAAAGTGTGAATATTGCTCCTAATTCAAGTATTTAGTTTTAAATGACTATATTAAATTATCCGCAATAATTATTACTTATGTTTAGGTTACGTTTATAGAAAACTAATTTAATTTCTATAAAAGTAACCACTAAGACGAGAATTTGCTAATACAGTTAAAATATCTCGACTATCCTTTTTTGCTTACCTGTCATTATTACAAACATCTCGAGACAACAGTCTACACATGGGACGGAATGATACCAGTAGAGTCAGTCCAGCAACCTGCCAGGTTCACGCAACGAAATAAAACCAAAAAGTGAACCTACCTATCAAACCGCACAGCTCACGTAACTAAGATGAAAGAAAAAACTAAACTATCTCGTTGACCTAAAATGGTCCGAAAACTACGTGGGTGGTCCATTTCAGATATTTTTATTCCAAGTGCGCACAATAATTGGTTGACGCTCGATTTAGGTTTGGTACAAAAATATATTTCAGGATGGGATGGATTAGAGTAATTCTTTCAATTACAGTTCTAATTTTCGCACGGTTTGGTAATAACAAATGAAAATTGGTGAACAAAAATTTCTTAGCAATTTTTCACAACAAAATATGATTAAGTAAGAAGAAGTAAATGTATCCTTTTTTCAAATCTTTTTTTCTCTTAAAAAGAAGGAAAAAAACGAAATAATTAAAGGATATTTACAAGTTTTCTACTGCTACCGTATATCTACTTCATTCACTCATCGCATACCATAATTTTTTGAATTGCAAATCAGAATTCTTCTTTCGGTTTATTAAACAAAGAAAGCAAATACTCAATAATAATCGTTGATCGAATGAAGATATTTACTTCATTTGATCGATTAATCAGAAATTATGGAATTTTGCTACAAAAAATTATAAATATTATTGCAAAAATTGAATTTTGTTCTGCACATATTCGGTCAGTGCTAGGAAATTTTTAGTTGATTACTGTGGAAGCATTCATTTATTTTTCGGTTATTTTCAATTTATACGGAATTTAAAACATTTTGGAAAACTTAGTTTGCTTGAAAATTTACAAACAATTTTCTTCGTTTCAAATTGTTGAAGACATGAACAAAAATTGGAAGGTCTCTATTTCTAGGCAATCATACAACAGTAATATTTTCTCAATTAAATTTGAATGAAAAATAATTTTAGACATTAATTTCAATTAATTTTAAATTTTATCGAACAAAGGCGTCAACAGTTCAAAGGTACAGCAAACAAAATCTAACTCAATTTGATGGCAACAATGAAAAGTGACAGTTATCGAAGTTGCTTTTGCAGAAAAATGTTGCATTAGTTATTTTATAATATTATAAATGAATGTTTAAAAAGGAATTCTGATATTTCAAATTTTCTTTAAAAGGAAAACTTCTGGATAACATTTCATTTTACTGCATTACATAAGTTTATCAAGTGTTTTAAATATTTCAATATGATTGAAATAATGAAATAAGAACTGAGTTAGCTATTCACTATTTCCCGAAATGATCTGCTTCTTCTCAAAAAATTTTCGGTATTCAACAGAACTTAGAATATTTTCCGGCTGTATCACAGTCATTAACTGGGATGGAAAATTGAACGGTAGCGAGTTTTGCAAAATTATGTATTATTTAATTAAAAATTTGCAGATATTTTTTTCCCTTTTTGTTGCAGATTTTTCTTTGTTTCTTTTTTCTTTTTGTGAACATACGCAAATTCATTTACCCAATGACACACTTTACCGGAACATTTTTTTTTTTTTTTTTTAACCGTTATGATTTAAAAATGTTCAGTTTATTTAGCAAAAAAAGCTGTACGTAAATTTACATCTGAAAAACTTAACTTTGATATTGTAGTAAATTTATCTAGCACAGAAAAAAAATTTTTTTTTTTTTAAATTTGAGACTGAAGTGCAATTTTTTTCTCAAAACTCAAAATTTTTCTGAATGTAATTTTAACCATAACCTATAATTCTATTGTTTGATTAAAATTTTTTTAGCATTAATTTTGTTTTAAATTTTTAACATTCAAATTTGGAAGAGTAGAAGTGATTTTAGCATAAATTTTGGTATACAAAAAAGTCAATGAACTAAAAACTAAATGAATGAATGTGTATTCATTCACTTTTTCTTTCTTTCATTATTTTTTGCTTCATTTTCAATAAATTATAGTTATTGTCATTGCACCGTTCAATAAATCTATAAAGCACAAAATAACAAGTTTTTTTTCCCTTTTTTCTCCTTTTTTTTCTTTTTTTTTTTTTGAATATGGAATGAAATATAACAGAAATGGCAATGACCTAATTGGCAATTGTCACCACCCCGCCATCGAGCACTTCTTCCCACCCAATTACCGCCTACAGCTGTTCGTCCTTCTTTTTCAATGAAATTCCTTTTTAATATATATATATATAATTTGTAGTAATTAATTAGATTCTATGAACATATTTATTCATCATTACTTGAATTATGAATTGAGTTCATTTGAACATAGCAATGTTCTTTTTTGCACTGATAGCATCATCTGTGTAAATCATGAATTCGAAAAAGTTAAACTAAATTTTAAATTATATTAGCAAATAAGTAATATATTAAAAAAAAAGTTTAAAGTGTATTGTTGTTTCTAGGAATGATATAACTATTTTTGCCCAGATTATTTATAATTAAGGATGAATATAGTTTAAATTGGTAAAGTTAAATGATGTTGCTTTAATTTTTGATTTTGTTTTTTCCTTCTAAACTTAAAATGTTAGTCGAAATTATATTGGGAAAGGAAATGGTAACGCTAAATTGTTAAAGACACTGTATATGAATTATTTAAACTAATATGATAATGCTAACAAATTTACTTTTGTTAGCATTATCATTTAATTTCTGTTCGTATTGTTTATCATTTTCATTACTATCATTATTATTATCCATCACTGTGATTTAAATAATCATTTTTTTTTCATGATTCTTTAACTAATAAATGTTACTTTTTAAGAAATAATTTGCGGAAATATTCTTCTTTTATCTCATATATATCGAATTCCTTTCTATCACTCCCTTATGCTGTTAAAATATTGTTGTCGTAATATTAACAAAATAATAATATTAACAAAGGAAAAGTAGCAAAATTTTTCAGTTATGAACTTTTTTTTTATTACGCTGTCAACTAAGATTCAATTGGTTTGAATTCATTTCCTTCTTTCTTGCTTCATTTTTACCTAATCCATTTTTATTAAAAACAAAATTGCATGCTCCTATCTGACGATTCATTATAGAAAATTGATCTCATCATTATTATCACCAGCACTGACATCAATACCTCTTATTATCATTCGTCATACAATTGTCTTTATCACATTTTATTTGCACTTTGATAATTGCCATCATAATTACTGATTACGTTATTGCATTGACGAAGATAGTGAAAATGAACATAGTTTTATTTAACATTCAAATCAGTATTTAACTGTTAAATTTTTACAAATCAATTAAATTAACAAATTATTGTTACTGCTATTAATAAATTTGTTAATGTTGTATTGCACTCAGTGAAAGAAGTAATTACTTTATCGAATGTTTGATACTTCATCAATTAACTGTTGTCGTATATGAGATTCTCAAGATAAAAATTTGAAATCTTTTTTAAAATAATTCAATTTCATATAAATAAAAGAAATATGACATTCTAGCTGAATTGATTATTATTCAGCAACAATAATAAAATAATATTAATATTAACAAATTAGTTTGTATTAAAACCATGCATACAATTATTAGTTATTTTAAAATTCATGTAGTTAAATTAACTTAAGAACTATTAGCTATCGAGTTGGAACAACATGCAACAGCATTTGAAAAAAAATTCCAAACTGTGAATTATTATCAGCTGACAATATTTCGAGAATAGTTTTCGAAATGTCCATGTATTAAATGATTGTTTTGTTTGTCATTATGTGAAACTCTTTGCTTATTTATTTCTTAATCGATAGCATATAAAATTAAACTTTAATTTAAAATTTTCTGAAATCTCTTGGAATATAATTTTAAATATTTTACTGTCTAATTTATGATACAAAAACAATGAATCATAATTCTTCTGTATATCAAAAAAGAAAAAAAAAAATATTTTGTTATTTTGAAAATTGCACTGCTATAATCAAATTGATCTGTGAGTAATGTTTTTGCTGTTTGTAAACAAAATGTCTCTGTAAAAAAGCATATTTCTTTCTCATTTGGCATAAGTTTTTAATGGGTAATTTGATGACTAATATTAAATATTTGTTTTATTTAATCATTATTTCAAATTTTTTAAAATTGAATATATTTCATGTGTGATATTAAATTATAACAAATTTCCTTAAATATTATGTTAATAACTTGAAGACATTTCTATAACAAAAATTAAAAAAATGGATGAAGG